GAGAGCGGGATAAAGTGGAATGACTTTTCAGCCATTAGCATGAGGTTATCTCAGTGTGCCAGAAATAGAAACGTGATAAAATGCGAGCCGGGGGAAAACAAGACTTGACCGGCCTGCTAGACTCATTGTCAGGCCCGATCATATCACACTGCATGCGTCTATGCTTCCTTTACATGTGTTTGTTTGGGGAAGCTGGATTGAGATGATGTCTTGTTCTGGTTTTCTGAGGACATATATATGAAGTGAAGGTTATACAAGGAACAAATTCTCTGCAAGGAGTGTGTGCTGATCTCTTTGTATGTGTGCACAAGTGTTTGGTCCCATCACAGTCTCTTCATTATCTCTTGTTTAGTCAGAGCTTTCTAGATTACTGTTTCCTCTGTTATTTTTGTTTTTTTTGCGGGGGGGGGGACATTTTTCTCACCACATCCCTACCAGTTCTTTGTTTTGTCTAACCCGCCTTTACTTTTTCAGCCATGCTTTCAACTCTTTCAACACTTCTCTTTACTTTGAGCGCCACTCCCGTCATTACCTCGGCCAAACAGATCGCTGTCTCATGTCCTCGTTTATCCTCCCTGCTTTGCCGCTGTAGGTGAATTCTGGAGAATCCGGCCTGCTGTGTTTTTCTTTCCTCAACAGGGGGAGCTGCAGACGTTTCTCAGCAACACGCAGCGCTGTCCCAGTTTCCTTAACTTAATGCTGCACGATTCTTGGGCACCAGCCAGCTCTCAGGCAGCAGTTACATAAGAGCCAACATTTTTTTTTTTTCCTCCTTTTTTTTTTTTTTTTTTTTCTCTGTTTTCCTGGAATTTTAAACTCTCCACTGATGTGTGACCTTCAGTGGTAATTGGCAATAAAAGTGCAGCAGACACATCTTCCAGGAGACAGTAGCATGTGGTGCACCTCAAATGAGACAATACAGAGCAGACAAGGAGGGTCATGGGAAAATTAAGGATTTACTTTGGGTGGCGATTGGAGACTTGAGCCAACATAACACCTGTTAATTGTTTGAGGTCTGCCTCCGGTGCAGGGCCAATAGTCTGTCGTCAGCAGAGCGCCTTACCAAACCCTCCCTCTGGCCTTTTTCCCCTGAAGTCTTGCTTCCTTCGACTCTGAACAGTTACTTCCTGACTTCCCAGTGAGATGATGTTACAGCAGTGTTCACTGTGTCTGGCTGTTTTTCGGGGGGAATAAATTAAGGCTCTTGTGTTATTCTAAACCGAGAGATAGTCTGATTACTGGCAGCCCTTCCAAAAGAGATGCAACACATTTCTCTGGTCATTAAGATTGTATGACTGCCACTGTATCTCCAAATGCCCCGAAGCCCATTGTGTTTGATTGTCTGGCATTACCTCTGCTGAGATTTTTATCACACGTTCTGGGAAATATTACAATTGGAAGCGATGCCGGCAATTACGGGGTCAAAGCGTTCGCATGACGCATCTTTTTACACCTGCAAAAATAATTTAAAAAACAGAGATGAGCATCTAACAATAGTTAACAGAGCAAATGAGGTCGGATTACACAGATGACAGTAATTATGTTCCACCGCCCGGAACGGCGGTTAAATTTTGCGCTGAATTAGAAGATGTTAGCGATGGATGCTGAATATAGCTTCGGTTGCATGCTTGATGCATCACCCTTTTTTTTTTTTTTCTGTGGAAATCAATGTGTTGACGTTAGAGGAGGCTCGATAGAGGGGAATTCCTGTCCAGTTGCAAAATTAATCAGCATAAAACAGCATGACTGAGAGAGCGAGGGAGACGGATGCCCATGTTAGCTCGCATGTTTGTTGTTTGGTTTCTGACATTTGGTGCCCCCTCTGCAGTGAGGTTTTGTGTGTGTGGGTGCGTATATAAAATGTTTTCTAATGTTTGTAGTTGAAATGAATCGTTGCTTACTGAAACAGCTGAAATATGAATGTCTCTGTAGTCTATACGTTGTAATCGAATTTAATTTACTTCTGTCTTTATTTAGCTAAAGTGTTCTTTTACTGATGAGACTATGTTTTATTGTACCAAGAAACTATTAAGTCATGTAGTTTGTATTTTATTATTCGGTTGGAAAATTGATTTTTTTTTTTTCATGATTATCATCTTAATCTATTTAAATTCATTTTTCTGTGCTCACATAACAAAACCACAAGGGTGAATACTGAGTTCATTTCAACTGTTTGTTTTTTTCAGTTTTTTTTCTTCTTCTTCTGTTTCTGTCATTATTTTTTTTGAATACTCACTAAAAATGAGTTGTCTTTATAACTCACTGCGCCTCCGTCCATACAAGCCAACGTTTGCTGTTCAGACGTTAAGAAATGGTGCTTCTGAATGGGGTGTTATTCGATAACCAGGGAAATCACACCATTGCATCCTCTTTGTTAAGAAACTTTCCAGCAGCAACGGTTCGTCAGTAGTTAGACTGAAGTGCATTCTCCTGCTTTGATCTGCTGGGTTACGAATAATTCCTGTGTGGCCTTTATGAAATAGCTACAAGTATGAATGTGCATATGGCTACTGAGATGAGTGTGCATATTGTACTTTATAGTTTATTTCATTCTTCCTTTTTGAAGTAAATGCGGTGTTACAGAGGGGATGTGCAGCAACTCTTTGTAGCAGGAGTTTAAAAGGGAACAACAGAGTTCTAAACACGCCACAGTGCTGCATTTAAGCCTATGGTTAGGTGAAGGCATACATGCTTATTTCTTCTTCTTTTTTTTTTATTTTTGATATGCAGAGCTTCTGCTTTTCTCGCCGCAACAGGTTAATGCTGCTTGTCATCCGTGCTGTGCCATCAGGCTAGCCCCATGAAACTAATAACACGAGACACACATTTTAACAAATCACCACAACATTTCTCGTCTTGCTTCCTCTCCGCCTCCGGCTCTTTAAGTCACACACATTGATGATGTCCAGCTGTGCATGTTATTGGTAGAATGCTAAATACAGGCATCCGTAAGTAGAAGCCTTTTAGGGATGAGAAGTTGCCTAGATAGAGGTTTTTAGCCAAAGTGCTACTTTGTGAAGGCAGAAGCAACTAATTCAACATCTTCTAACCTTAACTAACACCATCCTTTTATTTCCAATCAGCTGGCTCCTCCGCCCGAGCCTGACGTCCCTGCAGAGGTGTGTTTAAGAACCATATTGGCCCCGCTGTCCACTAATATGGGGTTACTGCTGATCACAGATTACCATACCTCCATCCCACTATATATTTGTGCTCAGTGTTTAACATGTCCGAACAGATAAGAGTCCCAGCCCACCCTTGTGCGCTTCCTCTTTTGATGGCCCCTTCATGCATCACCCCCCCATCGCCGCTGCCTCCGTGGAACTATTACGCTACATGTGTGCCCTTGTTTTGCGCACCGCCTCCCACTTCTTCACTCACCCGTTCCGCCCTCCCTCCGTCCTTCCTGCCTCCCGTTCATCTTTCCTTCCAGCTCTTTCGTTTTTTGAGCAAAGTCCAATTTCCTGACCTTCTTTCAGTGGGATGGCGGTGAGGGTGAGGGTGGGGTGGGGAGGTGGGGTTAGTTGAAGTCATGGGTGAGGTGTTTTTCCATGCCAGATTGGTGCTTACAGTGTGTGTCAGTAGCTCACAGCTCCATTATGTAACCCCTACAGTTTTTGTTTTTTTTTCTCCCTCCCCTCTTTCTCATGGCTTGTGTTTCTCCCCCCCCTCCGGCAACTTGTCGTTCTCTTATGTAAATAATTTAGGCACTTTTGCTGCTGTGACTGTAAAGTAATGAGGGAGTCACCACATGCCAAAGAGTGCAAAGTTTAAAATTACCCACGCTTGGACGGTGGGCATTTGACTCCGCAGAGCCTGGTGTCAACGTGACGTTTAAGATGTTTTACATAAGCGAGGAAATGAGCTGTTCTGTAGATGTTCTAAAAATCAGTCCTCCCTTGCATGAAGCCTTGCATGACTTTGACCCGACCTCACGTCTCCCCAACACAACCACTTCCCTCTTAACTGCATGACTGAATTTGCACCCAATTTCCTGCATGATAGTAAAGTAACTAATTTGCACTATATTAACATCCTGTTTTGTTTTCTAATTATTTTTTCCCAAATCCCCCCCACCCCCTATTTTTTTTTTATTATTATTTTTCTTATTTTAATGCTTTCTGCTAACTCACCTCACCTTTAAGGAGCTTGATCCCAACCAGCCACTGAAGCAACTGGAGGATCAAAGGAGGGTAGGTAAACAGTTTGGTCTGGGCGCAGGCCTCCATCCTTATTGATGGTCGACAACCGACTGACTGTTGTGATGCCGTCGCAGTCGCACTGCTTCCACAGCATGGCACTCACTCACTCCCCTGTCAGTTATACGATATGTAACCTGTGAGGGAGATCAGCGGGGGGAGGGGGGCGTTAACTTTGGTTCTCCATCTCTTCTTTGATGGCTCGTCATGTGTTTGGCACACAGGGATCATGTAGTTGACAGTGCTGCTGTGATTTACACCAAACCAACATAGAGCGACGGTGAATGTCTGCATATGTTGAGATGGGAGAGGGCACAGCTTCGCCTTTGAACATCGGTGGCTGAGGTCGAAGGGCAGGGGTCATATAATAAGACTCTGTTTGTTTCCTATGTTCATCCAAAATGGACATCTTATTAGGTTAATCCTTTATGGCTCAGACCCACGTTTAACTTTCATTTATTTATACAATATTTTTATGTGATGAAACTCTTTAGAATTTTACTGAGTAGCTGTAAAATGTCCAAAACTGGATGAAAAACAAGGAACATTTTCAAGTGAAGCTATTGTAATCTTAACAAGAGATAATGAAGATTTCAATTAAATCATGTCACAAGAACAGTTTTTATTGTCTATTATGTGTACGCTTGTAAACTTTCATGTGTTCTATGGTAGGATTTACTATTAGTGTAAATTCTACATCAATATCATAGTCTTGTCCTGCTACATTAGTAACTTTGGGTTCCATTTTTTTTTACACCAGAAATCGGACTGCATCTCCTAACATCCATTTTTCCCTGCTAGGGCGAGGCTCTGCGGCAGATTTTGGTCAATCGATACTATGGGAACATCAAATCTGGCCCGAGGAGAGACAGCCTCACAAGCTTCAGCAACGGGCCACTCACTGCCGGGTCGCAGGGAAAATCACCTACAGGTGTGTGTAGCAACACAGTACCTTCGTGTCTGTGTGATTATGCTTATAAAGATAAGATCAGATGACTTTGAAATGATTAACTTGGGGGAAACTGGGTCAGTGCTGCATCAAACTCAACACAACACAACGTTGGATCAAAAATTTAAAAAATGATTTCGTTTATGTCACAATTCTGGGTATGTGGCATCCAGGAACAGATTAGTTTTCGTCTTAAAAGGACGCCTTTCAGCTTTAGTCATGCAATTCAAATGTTACTAAAGCTAAAATGAGATGAAAGCGCCGGCATAAATGGTTGCATTATGTGGCTGCAGCAGCCAGTCAGGAAACAATCTGATGGTGTGTTTTATAAGGTTTAGGGATTTTTCAGCTGCTTTAACACCGAAGGAAATCTTTTGACCATTGCAAATTTGAAGTCTGCTTAAGGAAAGAATGCACCAGTTTGTCAAAATGCTTATATGTTTTTAACCTAAGTTAAAAAGAAAAAAAAAATCTTTACCATAAGTAAGTTTGTATAGATGGAGAGTGACTTAACTGAAGTTTACCTGTAAGAGGCTCTCTGCTTACTTATTTATTATTTAGGATTATTATTATTTTTTTAAATAATAAATTGGTTTATTAACTCTTTCCAACCAGATGTGTATGTATGTAAATGGAATGTCTTCATGTCCATGTAAGTTTAGAAATATGTGCCTGTGTTGGCTGGAATGAGTTTAAAAACCATTTAAAAACTAAACAAACAAACAAAAAAAAATGGCATTGAGTAAATCCTTCGGTCAAAAGTTTCACATTTTAAAAATCAATTAAAATCATTGTGATGTTTTGCAGCAAAGTATTTCCTGATTATATTAAGTTCCTGTCATGCTGGAAATGTTTGTCCGTCAGTTACGCGGATTCGAAAGAAAAGTACGTTCAGCCGTCACCGACAATTTCCAGCGGGCGGCGTTACACACAGTGTGGGTCGAGCACACATATTTTGTGTGTGTGTGTCTTGGGTTCACGATATCACATTTTCATGCCATAAAAGAAAACAGTTAATATTACAAACTAAAGCGGTGTTGCCATCCCTCCATCTCTCAATCTTTCCTCAATTGAGACAGGCATTCACAAATCTAATAGATTGTTCCTAAGTGACATTTATTCATTCCAGCGAGTCGCTCCGTCTCTCACCACAGAGATGACTCATATTTCATCTGCAATGCTTTAGAACAGAGAAGAAGAAAAAAAAACAAAAAAAAGTAGATCTTATTCACAGTCGTGGCCTTGTACTCCATTAAGCCCTTGGAGCTCGTCTCTGTCACTGAGCATAGCGGCTCTCTCCTCAGCATAACGCCGGCCGTGTTGTTGCCAGGCGACCAGAGAGCCAAGCTCCATCTAGAATGGGATGTGTTGTTGATTCAGTGGCTCGCCAGCCAGAGATGGCTCTGATGGGTGCCGTAATCTCACCAATTCTTTCATGGCTGCCTGTGGTAGCCAGCAGCAGCCGTGGGAGTTAAAGTACCTTCATGGATTAGAGACGCATGTAATGATGTATTGTGAATGGACGGCAAAGACACCTGTTGCTGTTTGCATCTATCACAAGCGGCCCTTACCAAATGGCATCTTATATAAACCTGATTTAACTGTTTTGAATTTTTTTAAAAACACCATATGTATAATTTTAACATATTTGTAGCATTTGTCAGGTTATTCATAAGTCTTTGCTTTGTCGAAAATTATAGAAACCCCGGTGAAAATGAGTGTGGTCTATTGCTCAAGCAGGACTACCTGTGACCTTGTGTGATTTCAAAATGACTTTTCCCACACCTAGATTTCATGCAGCGCTTTCACATGGGATAAGCAAAGTCTGTGTTATACTTTAATTCACTGGCATTATTCCCAGACCTAATGCTACTATTTATAGGTTGCCACATAATAACCGCTGAGCCTGTTGAAAGACGGCAAAATGTTGCACGTCATCCGTCTCATCCGTCTTTGAGATTTTGATCTTGTAATCGTTTTGAGCCTGGCTGGTCGTTCATGATGTGTAGCAACGTGAGCTTCCTGAATTTGCTCCCAAGTTGCTGTCCAAACTTTTATTTATAATTGCCTAATCAGCTCTTGTAATTCTTGAGCAAAAAAAAGAGGCAGAAGAAAACAAAAGTCCCTACAATTGGGATTAAAATCGTGGACGACCTCTGCAATTATTACAAATTACCAAAGGTTGTCAAATACTGGGCTGCAAGGTGGCTTGAAGGTTAGTGTCCCGGTGAGGACACCCGGGATGTTTCTGTGTGGAGTTTGCATGTTCTCTCTGTGCAGAGTGGGTTCTCTCCGGGTTCTCTGGCTTCCTCCCATAAGGTCCAAAAACATGTTGAGGTTAATTGGTGATTCTAAATTGTCCGTAGGTGTCTTTAAGCGTAGCCCTGTGGTAGACTGGTGACCTGTCCAGGTGTCCCCTGCCTTCACCCTGGGATAGGCTCCAGCCCCCCGTGACCCTAGTGAGGATTAAGTGGTGTATAGATAATGGATGGATGGATAGTCAAATACTGCCAGCCTCGTGTAAACAGAGCATATGCTGGAGTGTAAAGTAGCGAAAAAGGTTAGCAATAATCTGTTTTGCATCATCTGTGCGCCTTAAAAGATTGAAAAGCAAATACTATTGTTGTCTTTAATCAATTATACTCCAGATTAAATGTCAGTTTTTATGCTGGGTTACAAGTTTGAACAATTAATGGATTATTTTCCATCGTACGTTTTGAAAAATTGGAAATAAGTGCTCTATAGTTGAAGTACTGATAATCAAGATGCTCATTTAGGTTCAGCAGTTTTGTGTCTCATTTGTTGTTATTATCGTATTTGAGTGGAGGCAAAAAAAAGGGAAAAGATGTCAGTATTTTATATTGAACATTGTTCCCCACCAGGGATAAATGTTTAGTGTCCTGCTGTCTTTGTTAGTTAAGCTAACATGTTTCTAAAATTAACGTTCTGCTCCCATTTATTATTTCAATTAGGTTCTCCGTAAAGACATCCATCAAGCTGCATGAAGTTTAAAATCAAATTATGCATTTCATAATCAAATATGATAATACACTGTGACCCATGTCCCATTATGTAACCTGTCTGAAATCTGAATGCATCAATATTAATGTAGAAGATAATCAGTTTCACTCCTGTGACCCTAGTTGTCAGCTCTGGGGTCGGAGGTCGCGGGGAGCTGAGTTTGGCGGAGGTCCAGTGCCACCTGGACAAAGAAGGCGCTTCTGATCTGGTCATTGACCTCATCATGAATGCCACTAGCGATCGGATCTTCCAGGAGAGCATATTGTTAGCCATCGCACTGCTGGAGGGAGGAAACACGGTCATCCAGGTAAGTGGGGTTACTGGGTTCAAAAGTACACAGCACCAACACTGCAGCCGAAGGTGGGTGTGAAGTTTTAATGAGGTTCAACACCTACATGTCTAGCCTGCAATTAAATGGGAGTACTAAAAGCCTTGCCTTCAGGGAGGCATGAGCAGAATCTCAACAAGGAGATGTTATCTCCGGGTTCAAAGCTGTGGTCAAGAATTTAAGTTAACACTGTAGCTGCTCAACTGCTGTCAGGTGAAAGAAAAAAAAAAAAACAAGGATGTCTTCAGGGAAAAGAAAAGAAAAGATACTCAGTTGTCAGTGTATCAGCCTGGTCGTATTTTGTAAGGTAGACTTCACACCGAGGTGCAGAAAGCATCCTGGCGTGTTTGAACTTATTGACATTTTATGTTGTGAAAAAAAAGGGAAAGTGAGCTCAGGCCATGAACCAGAAAGGAAGAGGAACAGTAGTCTGCTGGGAAAGGTCCAAGCTGTGCAGCCAAACACGTCATCACCTTCCCACAGACAGCCAGGGGTTGCTAAGGCAACTCTAACTCTTTGCAAACCTTACAGAACACAGGTTAAGAGGGGAGAGAGCCGCTCTGTTTGATACTGCATTATTCTAGCCTTGCGTGTGTGCCGGCGTCGTCTGCATGTGTGCACTAGAATATATGCGTGTATGCATTTTTCTTGCCACAGTGTGTGAGTGTACGCTGCACGTAAGGCGTCTATCAGCTTATTCTGGTTTTGTGGTTTGTGCATGTGTGCTCTTGTGTGTTGTCTTGCATAAACAGGCCCGTTGCATAATAGGCTCTTATTTGCATAGTACTGTTCGTTACCTGACAAGGCCTGACTTCCCAAAGTGTACACAAAGGCACTCACATGACTCCAGTTACATAAGCTCCTGCCTGCCTGCCTCTCTGCCTGGGTGAATCACACCCAGAGCTCCAGGCCTTCTAACATTCCTATCAGACTCTTAACTGGGTCATGCTTTGCTGGTGGAAAGAGGGCAATAAAAGGCACAACCTCTCAGAGGCCTCAGGAGAGATCCAGTAGATGTGAGATATTCTCTGCTGCTACCTGAGGAAATACCGCTCCCTGTAATCCTCCCTCAGGGGCAGATGCACTCATCAAACTGCCTGACTTAGCTGTCACTTCATGTGCTGAATGACCCTTTAGAGGTCAGGGCATAATGAAGAAGCTCAGCTGAAGGTAGCCTGTTGCATGCATTGCGGCCTGGGCGTGGATGTTTTTGGGTTTGTTCTGCGCCGCTGTAAAGACTTGTGTGAGTCACGGGTTTGAATGTACAGGTTTGACACGTTAAACTGTCGAACTTATTTGCATGAATTACAGACGATCAACAGTAAATGTCTACCTGTGACACCTACTGTGACAAGTAATACATTTGCTGGTTAAAAACAAAAATTAAACTGACCTTGATAAAGCAGTTCATTGGTTTTGCCATTGTAAAAGAGCTTCTTGTCTCAGAAAATAAAGTTAGGTGTTTTTCTGCTCCTTTGGCATGATGCAGGGACAAGGAAGCTTTGTTGGAGAGTCACGTATGGTCCAGAGTGATTTTCAACATATCAGCAGATGCGTCACATTTCCCTGTCTTACACAACGATTGGTTGCCTGCCCGCCTTTTAGGACAGAAGAGTTCTTGTTGTCTAAATGAAAAGCAGGACAAAAACATGCCCACAGACTTCTCCAAGCAGTCTTCTTGTTTGTTTTTGAGGTAATCCAGGGTTGTAGCCTGGCCAACAAAATTTCTGGGAAAAGCAAGTGCAAGAGAGGAAAATTGAAAGTTCGAAGTTGGCTACAGGAAAAAAGAAAAAGTCATCCAGGGCCTTAGGGCTCTGTGCTGGTGGAGCTGGATGTGGCAGCTCTGAGGGCCAGGGGTAAGTGTGTTAGTGAATACAAAAAGAAATGGGTCAGGTCAGTCCGAAAAGCCCATTTCCCAGCTTGCCCGAACAGGCCACCACCACAGCTTCCTTCCCCAGCCGGGATCATCTGTTGGTCAAAATAATTAGCCGTCTGACCGCGTGCTGCAACACCAAGTGAAGAATATTCCAGACTCACAAAATGAACCGAATGTTTAGTCCCTTCTTATTTAGTCGGGTGACATCCTTTACAGCGACAAACTGTATGTCTAAGGACTGTTATTTAGCTGTAAAAGCAGTCTGTGACTTAGGTTTTGCTTTTGCTTATTCATACTTTGCACTTGGTTTTTCCTTGACATTCAAAAAATACCCTTCGTTAAGTTTCCAAAACAGTCACAGTCACACCTGGGTTAAGTTCATTTGATGTGAGTTCACACTAAAAAAATTGAGGTTTAGAAACTTTCAATCAGCGTGTTAATCACTGAGTCACGAGAACCCTGTCGACATACGCCGTCTTTGTATGGTAAGAATCCCCCCCTTTCTTTTAATATGCAATTAATGTTACATGAACAAGGAATATTTTTATTGCAGTCTCAATATTTAACTTTAAGCTTCACTTAAAGACTTATTTTCATTGCTTTTCAAGGCATTTGCCCGTACACTGAAACTTTTCTGTGGTTTGCTTAACACATCATACCTCAAATGCCATGTGTTTCAAAGGGTAACGCAAACACCAGTAAAAACCGACCCCCTCATGCGGTCGTACTAGCTGTCACGTAATAGCAGTCCTTGCTTGGTTAGTCGAAGCGAGAGCAGTTTCTTCCCTCGTGATCTCGTAAAGTGACGACATAAATTGAAATATGTCCATTAATTTAAGGATAATTTACTGGGTTGTTTGCAAATTTTGACTTTGAAGAAGAAAAATCTGACAATAAAAGATCCTCTGCTCCATCCTTTGCTGCATACACATGTCAAACATGAGTTATTGACCTACATATCTTGCCAAAAATAATCAAAGTCTGCATGGATCCCCCCGTGGACAAGAAAACATGCTGTGCGACACGTATGCTCACACCTTGCAGGTTATTTGGTGATAAGAAGCAAATACCGTGACACTCCTGGAGTAACATAAGCAGGCACGTTGCAAACGCACTGTATCGCAGCATGAAACTACACTCTCGCATACTCATCTGTACACCCCATCAGCACATGCACACACGCACATACGCTGCAGGATATACTTAGAGGCAAGACAGCTTATTCCAAAAACAGCCCTTAAAGAGAGAGAGAGTGTGCGCTTGTATGTGTTATGTAAGTGAAGAAGTGTAAAAATCTCTGCTCCTCCCAGCCCACCATCCATCTTCTCAACGCTGGCTTCGTGACCTCAGTTCCCCAACTGTCACAGGAGCGAACAGGTGCCACCGCTCTTACTCAATAGGCTTGTTGTGGCACGCCGCTACCCTCAGCCCCTTCCAGGCATGATTTACTCCCCCACCTCCCCTACTCCCCACCTCTGCTCAGTTCAAGTTCACTTTACAGCTACCTCTTGGAAAGCTTTAAAAAGATTCTGCAAAGTGAGTTTCCAGGCATCAGCTCCATCAACATACCAGCTCGCTTAACTACAGAGCGGGCAAGGGATTCTTCTTTTACACCCCAATTTATAGAAGTTTAATTATTCGTTCTTATGCAGCTGTTTAGTCAGATCATTTACATTTTAGCTGTCACTTGATATGTTTTTTTTTTTTTTTGTTTGGTTTTTTGGCTGCGCAGGTTTCTGAGAAAGCCCACTCACGTGTAGTTGGCTCTGGTTTAAACCTACTATCTGCCAGTCTCGTCAAAGCTGCAAAGAGCGGATCTCTGTGGATACCAGCTGGGTGGTGGCAGAGTGCGCAACCGAAGCCCTCCAATAAGCACAGAGATGGCTTTGTCACTCACCAAGGTGTCAGGCTGCAAAAGCAGGAGACGGATAAAAAGAAAGAGGGAGCTGGTGGTATAAACAGGCCTTACATAACTGGCCCGTGTTGATGCCAGGAGCCGGGGTGGCAGCTGACGGGAAACGGAGAGAAAAGTAGAAGTGCAGAATAATCAGAAAGGAGGCCCCCGCTGTGCCACCATGTTGATCCTGGAGAATAGGAGGCAGAATTACGAGTCGACCTAAACCTGCTGCGCCGAACATGACTGCAGCAGCAGGATCAGCACAGCTCCCAGGAGGCTTAATGGCTCTATAGTGGGACACATAGAGAGTTAATCTGCCTCAGGGGGGAAAAAGCCGAGGCTGATTGGCTGACTGACCGTTTTCCTTAAAGAATGACTCAGCAGTCAGCAGAAGCAGGTGTTAACCGCATTGTTCGAAGGGGTTCTTATCAAAGTTGTTATCTGGACTTTTATTCTCTTATGTAAGACGGTGCATCGTTGAATTGTGACTTATCGCGCTCCTGACCACATGCACACCCAATCGTTTCAACAGTCCTTCAACCCATTTGTCTGGCCAGAACGTTCTGGGCCTTGACAAAGTTGTTCAGCTCTTTATAATGTCTATTTTTTTTCCCACATCGAACACATAGATTTGATTGTTTTCAAGGTAACCCAGGGTTGTAAAGCCAATGATAGAGATCCTACCAATTTCTCCCACATCCACCACGCCGGCTGCAAAAACTGTCAGTGCTTTTCATGTTATTTGCAAGTATGTGTGTATTATGTTTGATTTAGACTTGAGATCCAAACATAGTGAAAGAAATTAGACTCATTCATTGAGTGACTTACCAATAAACAATATTTTCATGCTCCAAGAATAACAGTATTTTTTCATGTCACCTATGGAGATGGCTATAATTCATGTTTTTTTTTTTTATATACTTGTGCTGACGTAGACACTAAACTTGTTTCAATACTTTGCTTTAACAACAAAGCAGTCAAGCTCGTAAAAGGGTAAATGTCATGTAAAAACGATGACACCTTTGATTTGAACCTGTAATCAACCACTCTGAGGAAGCGCTTTATGGAAGCTTGTGACTATTTGTGATGCTCTGCCGCAGACTCAGTTTGATCAGTTAAAAACCAGGAAGGTTTGATACTCGGTCTTGACTTTGTGCAGACAGAGAACAGGACAGCAACTGTAGCATGCTGTCCTTTTGCCTTCGGCATATATGACGGACAAGTGTTGACAAATTTATTCCCTTCGAATTGGTGAAGAAATTGAGTTTTTATGGGCACAGTCATGAGATCTATTTAATATGGTAATCTTGTAAAGCTGCTATCCTGGAGCTGTTGTCTCTGTCTGGAGAAGTATGCCTGCTTGCATAAGCCCGACTGTTAATCAGATCACTATCAATGAATGACCCTATCTTGTCGACAACATGATGTTAACATCTTGAAAAACAAGCAAGAACAAACTGTTGCATAAACGAGCAGGAAAACAACTTAATACATTAAGTGCTCTGCTTCCCTCAGGACTCCGGTCAGGTGATTCTGCAGAGATTCGGCACTCAATAGGTTTCACTGTTTCGTACTTTCAAAGATTTCCTACACAGATCTGTTACTTTCGCACCATGCGCTGCACTTGTACGTCGATTCACAGTTTGCATGTTTTTCCCTCTGAGAAACTAAACTGAGTTAAGCGAAACCTGGAAAGAGTCTTATGTAACAGGCTTTCCAAACTGCCCTAGAATCTCTGTATGCGATAACTCCTGTTTGCATCAAACCCCCCCCCTCCAACCTCTCCTCCCACTTTCGGACCCGTCCTCCTCCCCTCTCACACCACACGCTTACTTCGTGCCGTCCTGGCAGTGAAAAGTAGGACAGGGTTTTCCTCTCTCCCGCTCCCACTGCCTCGCTCTCCCTCTGTGGGCTGATGTAACAGCGTTAGAGCCGAGGCGCTGTGTGCCCTCACTGTAACCACTCAGCTGATTACAGGTCTTATGTAAGGAGGAATTGTTGAGAGGAAAATGGGACAGAACATATGAGCCTGTTGCAGAAAAACAACAGCTTCATGCACACGAGGCTTTCAAACAAGATTGCCCTTTGTGTAGTTAAGTTAGAGGCAGAACATTTCCTTCCTCACCCTGACTTCATAAACTGCTTACTCATACTGGAACAAACTTGTCTGCTGCATAGTTGAAAAGCTCATAAAAGCAAAGATTTGTGGTCTTCTACCATCCCAGAAATGTAGTTTTTATTGTCGCACAACCCAATTATATGAACTCGAGCTATTCTTGAGGTGGGATCACACCAGCTGCGACACCCGTCAACATGTTGACATTCTGACCCATGTGTGCTCAGTAAGTACTCGGACCACACCCTTCTTTGAGCTCAGCCTTTTATTTTGATTGCAGCTGCACACCTGTAAAGTTTCGTGACTGCATCTTGCACAGTTTTGTCACAATAACTAGCTCTGTGGTAGTTCCCGCTAAAGAAGGTGTGTCCATGACCACATTCTACAATGATGAGACGCTCACACAGACGGACAAACAGACAGTCAAAAACAATGCCAGCTGAGCTATCGTCGCCAGTAACCAGTTTCTTCAGCTGTGTGTGTTGACTTGTAAAGACATATACGTGCTCACTTGTGGAGTTTGTGCACAAAGTGTGGCATCAGCAGGTTGGAGGTACCTGTGTTATTGTGTGTACATGCTTTTGAACTTGGCTGCATGCTAATCCCAGACCTTGTCTTTGTTTTTGCTGTTGCCTGTGTGTCTGCAAGTGGTAAGCGCCGGCATAGTCCACAGAGGGTCAGAATGTGTTTTTGTTCAGAGGGCAGAGAGCAGATACTATAAAATCAGGTGAGCATGAGAAACATGCTTTCCTGCCACTGTGGGAGAGGAGGCTTATGTAACTACTTCTAACCAAACCTTTGGCTCACCACACTGGGTAGAAACTCTAAAAGAGACAGTGACACAATAGTCAGAGATGGCAGCAAGAAATTACAAATTTTGATCTTGAGTATGGAGAACATTGCTGGGAACATTTTGGTTTAAATACTGATACGTTGAAACTCATTCATCTTAAATAGTTTTATAAGAAAGAGTAAAACATTGTGTCTAACCTCGTCCATCTGGAACACCTGACAGTTAACCATTCATTGATTTTTTATTTTTTTTCCCCCCCAGCGGTCATTCTACCATCGTTTAACGGGGGACAACAAATCTGAGAAATTCTTCAAGGTGTTTTATGAGCGCATGAAGCTGGCCCAACAGGAGATCAAAGCCACTGTGACAGTCAACACTAGTGACCTGGGAAGCAAGAAGAAGGATGAGGAACCACCAGACAAAGACACGCCAGCACGTAAAAAAGGTCAGGGGTCAGGAGTTAGGGTCACTGACTTAATGAGAGCACAATAGGCTGGAGAAGAAAATGCTACACCATACACTCAAGAGACTCACATGTGACACAGTTAAACTAGAAAAACAAACCTCTGTTGACTTCTGTGCACATCGCACTTAATCTGTCTGAATATCTAGTCTCCAAATGCTCTGTAATGTCAAATGTTTTTTCCTTTCATGATAGTTGTTTACAACAAAGTTTGTCATGAAACGCTGTGTCAGATGCAGCGCAAAAAAAAAGTGTTGAAAAATAAATTGCTATGCCACCTGTTTAGTTTCTTACTTGATTTATGTTAATTAATACAGTATTTAGTCATACAATCTTGTTTTTCTTATTTATTTAAGTTAAAAGCCAAATTTTTCATGAATCAAATGACACTTGGGACCAAAGCAAGTCTGTCCACATGTAAAACCTCAATATTTCTTCGGACAAAGCCTGTGCATGTCAGTGATGACAAGAATCAGTTCGTGAATGTCAAACTATTCAAATGAATATTCGCTGCGACATCTGTTTTGCTGCCAATGGTCTGTGTTTGACTCACTCTTCTGTACCTGTGGTTAGTGAAAGATGTGCCAGTGGTGGCGACAGTGACCGAGGAGGTGAAGGAGCAGCTGGTGGAGGCGTCCGCCGTCACCAAGAAGGCCTACACAACCTACCGTCGTGAGGCTGAAGCTGAAGAGCACCAAGCGGCCGCTGACGGCACTCCCGTCCCGACTGCAGACAAGAGCCAGGAAGAAGGCGAGATGAGCGTCATTATCACCATCATGCAGCCCATCCTACGCCTCATGCAGCTGCTCTGTGAGAACCACAACAGAGACCTGCAGGTCGGCCATTAAACCAGCTTGTTGTGACTGTAGGGCTTTTGTTTTGCCTGAGTCGGCCCGCCCCGTTGTCAGCCCATGTCATGCTAACGTTTCCTGACCTGTGTTCTGAATTTCAATCACCACCCTCAGTTATACAGAAACGAAACCATGTTGAAAATAGGCACCAGTTGCAGAACTTCCTGATGCAGCTGTTTCCATATCTTGTATGTCGTGGTCTGGTTTCACTATGAGGAGTGTGTTGGTGTTTAGTATTGGCAAGCTCCAGCAACCCAGACAGAAGACTTCCTTCTTGCACTGATTCTGTTTACACCTTAAACTGGGGCATGTCTTGATTAAACGATAGTTGGCTTGGTCCTGAATTGCTGTATCTTACCCATCTAAACCCTGTGTGGGTGCAAGATAGTAACTTGCTGCTAAACATGCTACACAGATGATTAATTTATTTGGATGTTTCTTGTCCTGACACAGACATCACTACAGTCTACAGTACCTCAGAAAAAGGAAGAAAATGTTTTGGATGACTTGAGTAGAAGCTTAAAGACTGTTTCTGCTACTAATTATCTCCTCAGACACCCTGATTAATAAGCTCATGTTATCTCTACTGATCTTTTGCCCAGTGTCACATCTCACAATTTTCTCTCTTATTTGTAGTTTAAAACAAGTCTTCTTGACAATGAGTCCAAATAAAGAAACATGTTGAGCTTTTGTTCTATCGCACTGTCCCTCACCAGAACTTTCTACGCAACCAGAACAACAAGAACAACTATAATCTAGTGTGTGAGACTCTTCAGTTCCTGGACTGTATCTGTGGCAGCACCACAGGAGGACTGGGGCTGCTGGGGCTCTACATCAACGAGAAGAACGTTGGACTCATCAACCAGACTGTGGAGAGCCTCACCGAGTACTGCCAAGGTCCCTGTCACGAGAACCAGGTGAGAACATGTACACACTGAGCTAAAAGTTGGGGAGACTTTTTTTTTTGGGGGGGTATTGTAATTAGTCTTGAGCATTTCTTACCCAGTTTTCATAATGAAGCTTTGCAGCCTCTCATCTTTCTTCAACACCATTCTTCTCTGGGCAGTGTGCCTGTGTTTGTTCTTTAGCATAGATTAGCTTTGCTTGGTCTTCTCACATGACGGTGGCGTCCTCTGTTCCCGCTGCTGTGAGGTAATTTCATGGCGAGTGTGAAACCGGCATGACTAAACAAGCGACTGGCTAAATGCAGCCGCTGTTTGAATTGATTTCAATTCCTTCGGACATTGCTGGAAGGGGGATTGCCAGACTAAACACAGCTCTTTGTTCATATCTGCTGAGAGGGAAATGAGAGGGGAGAGTGCTGGAAAAAGTTTTGCTCACGTGTTATGTGTTGTGTTTGTTAAATTGTGTCGTGGCCCTCCAAACCATTAACTTGATGAAGAGTGCAGTCAAGAGAAAACAAAGAACTTTTAATAGCACCAGTTTGCCGAGTTAAACTCAGTTTACAAGATACTTAGCAGGTAGGTTGCTCTTGGAGAACTTGAAGCAGTTCTTCTGTTTTTTAACATCTGTCTCATTGTCTTGTATATTTTTATGCAGTCCCCAACTAATTCCATGATTTTGATAATAAGGCTCTGTCAGGGCCAAGCAAGGTGTTGAAGGTCTGCTTGCTCTTCTTGTCAGTGAAGATGACTGTTTATGACAGGCTGCAGGTTTGTAGGTTGGCTGTTACGTTCTGCAGAATGACTGGACCAATCAGAAGTGTCCCTGTTAGTATCGCACGATGGGATATTCAGGATTTGACATCGAGCATTTCAGACCTAAACACCTCTGATTGGTGCCAACAGCTGTGTTATGAATTAAGTTCATTAATATCAGTAATTGTGCTTCAGTAAACATCCTGGATGTCAGGAAGAGCTTGACTAGATTATAGACCGTTTCTTATTTGATCCTAGTTGAAAGTCTAATATGACTCTTCTTTTCTAATCTATAGTATTGCCATTTATCTTCTTCTGTTTCTCAGAACTGCATTGCCACTCATGAATGTAATGGTATTGACATCATCATCGCTCTCATCCTCAATGACATCAACCCTCTTGGCAAGAAGAGGATGGATCTGGTGCTGGAACTCAAAGTGAGTGTTCACTGGCTTATTTCGTGGTTCTGAAGAGGGAAAACACTTTAAGCTGGATAATTTACTGGTTCTCATACTAGCATCTCATTTCCAAATGAGAACATCCCGTGATGATGGCATTTGGATTGCTTGACATGAATAAGGTTCAGTGGATTTAGACATGATATTCTAATTTATGCAGGGCGAAATGAATGATTCATTCGCAAAGTTACTATACCAATAACATCAGTGAAAAAAAATCATAATGCAATGCAGCTGCTAGCATATTGACTGTGATCACTGGCTTAAGTTAAGGCACCCCATTCACAAGAGATCATCAAGACGTGCAGAAAAATCTCACAACAATGTTGAAAACAATGTCGTCTGGACTGAAGGTCGCTATTATGCTGTTACCAGACTTCCTCATAAAGCGCTCCATCACAAATTACATAACCGTGACACATGACAAAGTCATTTTTACAGCTGGATTTCCGCTTCGGTTTGTCTTGATTTACTGCTTGTGTACAGTCTGGAATGTTGAATATCAGGTTGACAAAATGGTCTTGATCACTCTTGTGTTATTGTCAGCACTCTCATCTTTTCACAGAATAATGCCTCCAAGCTTCTTCTTGCAATTATGGAGAGTCGCCATGACAGTGAGAATGCTGAGAGGATACTGTACAACATGAGGCCTAAAGAGCTGGTGTGTATGACACCGTAACAATCATCACACGGTATTAAGAGGATGTTGTTACGACAGTCTGTGTTCTTGCAGGTGGAAGTGATCAAAAAGGCCTACATGCAGGGTGAGATAGAGGTGGAGGAGCCGGCGGAGGGTGAGGATGGAGAGGAGGAGCACTCTGCATCTCCACGCAATGTTGGTCATAATATCTACATCTTGGCACATCAAGTAAGCCACTAACTTTCTAAAGAAATCAGTGTGGAGAGAGACACCCCCGTGTGCAAATGCTGTGGCACGTGCGTTGCCACATAATAAAGTTAATTCTCGATGGATAATCATCAACCCTATGGTTCCTGTATGTCTGTGTCATATCCCGTGGCTACTAATAACATGTGATACCTGTCATTTTACACTCATCTCCTCTTTATAAGCCCTCAGGCTTTGCACTGCTCAATAGCAGAAAGTCTGTTCATACCATCAATTAGTTTAACGGCAATAATTATAGTTATGTAACAACCACTGTCAGTCTCCACCCTGCAGCTTTGTGGGTGAATAGATGGAACATGTTTCTTTCACAGACAGAAAAAAATAGCATGTAGTGTACCTCGCTGCTAATGGCGACAATGTTGATACAGCACATGCTACGCCAGTATATTTACACATTATTGGCAAACCTTTCTGATGCCTTTCTTTAGCTCTTTATAGTAATTATCTGTCGTTGATCTGTTTCAGTTAGCCCGTCACAACAAGGAACTGCAGGCTATGTTGAAGCCAGGAGGGACATATGGAGAAGGTGACGAGGCCCTGGAGTTCTATGCTAAACACACAGCTCAGATTGAGGTCAGTTGTTGGCTCCATGTCCGAGCCTAACTCTGCTGTTTTTCATCTGCTGCTGTAATTTTAGTATTTTAAGTGCTGATGTATGTCCGCTGTTTGAGATCTAGTGCAAGATGTCTGGGCGAGTTTGACAAGATCGTGGTGTGTTTTGAGTTCCCTTGTGACCTGAGATAGCATGATGAGCACTTTCGGCGTGTTGGCACGTTTTCTTGTGATTGCTTAATTCGCCGAAGGAATGCTGATTGTTGGCAGTGTTCCAAGTGTAAACTTGTTAGTTCAGTTATTAGCTGCCTTTGTAATGATAAAAAACATCAAACAAGCAGGGGGGAATAAATCCATTTATTTCCTTGTATTTCTTTTATTTTATTATTTAACCTTTATTTTAGCAGGTAAGTTGATTGGGAGCTGGTTCTCATTTTCAATAACGATCTGGTCAAGTTTCTGCTGCAAAGTACAGTTTATGACTGTTATGTCATTTGAATCAGTGGAGCAACCTGTTTTCATACAACCGTGAAACACCACGCTTTATGGATGACTGAAGGATTATTTGCCTACAGCAGTGAAAGAGGGTTTGTGATTGGTGGCTGCTGCTGTGGTTGTGTCCAGATTGTACGGCTGGACCGCACTATGGAGCAGATAGTCTTTCCTGTGCCCAACATCTGCGAGTTCCTCACCCAAGAGTCGAAGCTGCGTGTCTACTACACCACAGAGCGGGACGAGCAAGGCAGCAAAATCAATGACTTCTTCCTGCGCTCTGAGGACCTCTTCAATGAGATGAATTGGCAGAAGAAGCTGCGAGGTACTCAAGAGGCCACTGGTAACACAAACACCGTTCCCTGTGCGTTTTTCTCCTCAACTCTTTATCTCCTTAGTGACTGGTTTACATTCTTTCCTCTTGCATCCCTCCAGGCCCCAAACCCCTTCCTCACGTACACACTTCGTTGATGTTATGTTAATTTGTCATGTTGTCAGAAGCAACATTTCCCTGCTTCTTTTTCTGGCATTTTTCCAACCCAAGAACTAGTTCAGATTTCCCTAAATCTTCCCTTCCTCCTCCGTACTGCTAGTGTGGTCCAAACATACATCTCAACAACACAAATAAAGACCTCAGCCTCCAAGGCAAGTCTGTCTCTGATGCATCAAGATTTTTGTATTAAAAATGGTCAAGCAGCAAATATAAATCACTGTAACGTTGCACTGAAGTTATTTCTGTGGTGTTAAACATGTCAACAGTGAAAGTTATATGGACAGCTGGCTGTAATTAATAAAAACAAAGAGAAAACTCAATGACAAGAGCAGCCACAGCCAAACAGATGTTGGCATGATTGGAACTCCAAATATGACAACACAAAAACACCATATACAGATACATCAGACGCTCTGACAGGTCGAATCCAGAACTTCAAGCTAAAGTTGTGCCGTCCACAAAATGTCAGGCATTTACTACAAAATCAACAGCACGTAAGCAAACTGTTTGAGCAGCATCAGAGTAAAACGGACTTGCTTCACAAACACATATTACATGTATTTTATCAACAATGAGAATGTTTTTTCTCAGAAAACTGGTGGAGTTATTCCACTACTTTCTTGGTAGTACAAAAACGAAGCCCACTAAGTCATTGTCATACCTGAACTCAAAAATGATTCAGGCTCCATGTGTGAAAGGGGCTGCAGTGTGATCCCTTAACACTGAACCCTGGAGAGATGAACTTGGAGAGAGCTTGTAAATCTTGATAAGTTGTTTATATTTGAATTGCAGTATAGTAATTAAGTAATGATATTAATAAAATGTGACAGTAAACTATTTAAGGCTAAGATGTGATGACAAAATATGCTGTAAAGTTTTAAAATTATGTTTTCAACCCACGTGAGTGTGATGATGTCCCTGTCAGTGTGAGGAAGTGGATGATGGGCACGTCTTAGGCCATTTACAAAAATGTCTTCACTTTGGAATTTATGTGTGGTTCTTTTACGGTTCTTTGTCGTCATGTACAGCGTATTGTAATGAGATTACAGTGTCGGGTTCCTGTGTCTTTTTTGTTCTGAAAACATTACAGCTGGATTTGGCTAGATTTAACTCAACTAAGCCAACTAAGTTAGCTCTCTCCGTGTCTGTCCCATCTTAATGGGATTAATGGGTTGACCTGCTTCCTCTACCTTCCAGTTTGAGGTCATGCTCAGTCAGAGATCCTTTACTTCTGACATGGCAAAACCTTACAATAGCCAAATAAACAGGGAACAGTGCCTGTAAAAAAAAAAAAAACAACATTCACAATGGAAGTTTTCTCCTTTTTTTTTTTTTTTTTTGAAGATATTTTACAAAAAAAGCATTCGTTTATGTCGAAGTGAAAACAGAGTTTTACAATAATTATTATAATTTTATTTATTAAAAATGTAAAACATACACAAGTGAATGCACAATGAGATACAGTGAATGTCTCTCAGGTGATTTTAGTACCAAGACACCTGTATCTGGAAGATCCAGTCACTGGTGAATCAGTATTCAATGCGGAGCAACTCTGTGAAAAGGGCGTTAAAAAGTATGGGAACGGATACAAGAAGCTTACTGGGTTGCTGAGTACAGTTAAATCAGTCATTAATAAATGGAAAGAATATGACACATGCGTAAATCTGTTTTAAAAGGTGAGTGACTATGCAAGACAGCAACTAGTGAGGGCGGCCAACAAGACATCTATGACTCATCGGAAGGAGTTACAAGCTTCAGAAGCTGAGATAAAAGAGACTGTGCATACAACATCGCTTGCCTGGGTTCTTCATCAGCCAAAGTTTGAGAGGAAAGTGGCAAAAAGAAAGCCACGGTTGAAAAAAGCTAATCAAATCCCAACTAGAGTTCACCAGAAGGCATGTGAGAGACCCTGAAGTTAGTTGGAAAAGGTTCTTCTGCCTTCTATCCAGACTAGACACTATGATTGGCCGTCACGGTGAGGCATGGTGGCGGCAGCATCATGATGTGGGAATGCTTGTTGGCAGCATATCCTCAAAGGCTTTTATAGGTAGAGAGTAAATTAATGGACATTACTTTGCAGAAATCTGGTTTCACTTTGACATGTTAGAGCCTTTTTTTTGTCAACTAGCCAAATTACATGGACCATGATTCACTGTTTAAAAGCAGTTAAGGGGAAAACTTCCAAGGTGGAAGAATACTTTTTGTAGGCACTGTGAGGAACACGTCAGCATAAGGGAGATCAGGAACAGGAAGCTATGTCAGGAGACGCTGGAATATGTCTTAATGAGCAATCGTGTCCTCTTCATAGTATTTTTTTTCTTTTTCACTAATGTTAAAATACCATAATTGTCCCTTTCAAAGCACCCTTTGAAGTGAGGGCAGTTCCCTGTTGACCTCTTGACTGAGTCTCAGCTTTTGCTTTGTTTATGTCTCTCCTTTCTTGGTTGAGGAGCATGTTGTGGCCTGTCCCATGGTCAGGCCTGAAGGAGTTTGTCTGTAACGTGACAAGATGTGAAGAAAACCGCCTCTTAGCTATGTAAATGAATTGGCACAGCTGGAGACCATATTTTTCCACTGGTGCTAACCACTTGTCATGAACGTAGTGACTTCTTTCGCCAAAAATCCCCATCTGCAGTTCTTCTTTTCTAATGAACAACTGGGCTCAAAATAGCATCGGTCATGATACTGATCTCCTGACCAAAGTCTAAGTAGGCGTGTGTGAGTTTGTGAGTGTGTGCGTGAAAGTTCATGTGGTTTTTACTATCCTCAAAGTAGAAAATAATTTAGTGTGTGTAAAACATGTAAGACAATTGATACCCTCTACTTAAATGGATTCAGGCTTTTCCTTATTTACCCCATGTAGATTCCTTTATTTACAGCTTTTTGCTACTTTATAGATGAAAAAAAAACATGCTGGTGTGTTTGATTAATGTGTTTCACCCCAAGTTTACTACATTTATAAACTTGCCAAAATAATGTAATATTAATTCACCTAAATTTGTGTTGATATAAAATATGTTCAATTGGTCTCTTGCTGCAAAGACTCTTGTGATTATTAATTTGAAAGTTGGCGTTGTTTGTGGCAGCATTTTATAGCTGCAATGCTCAGTTTTATTCAGTAATATTCATTGGAAAGGAAATAACGGCACAAGTTCTGTGCATGTAGCTAATCTTTGGTGTGAAACACTGATTAGTCATTTTACTGTGAACTGAAATGCTTCATTAGCTGAACTGTATTTGGTGTATAGCAGAGTTCATGTAGAGATGTCTGCGTGGAGTTTTGATTACGCAGTGCTCTCTCTCTGTGCAGTACAGTGACCTGTGTTTGCTTCCTAACCCTGTCCTCCAGCCCAGCCCATCCTGTACTGGTGCTCCAGGAACATGTCTTTCTGGAGCAGCATCTCCTTCAACCTTGCTGTGCTCATGAACCTGCTCGTGGCCTTCTTCTACCCTCTGGAAGGTGTCCGTGGAGGTCAGTGCCCTTCAGTCTTCATCCATTAAACTCTGGGTTTGTCCTCATACCCACTGCTGGGGTGATAATTGCCACAGTGCCCAAGTTCCCATTAAGATCACAAGTGTGTTGAGGTTTGACTTTGCTCTTTGGGTCATGCTTGGGTTAATAAGTAATACATAGAATCAGAGAAAGCACACATTGAGGAGAAATACATTTAAAAGACGTATTAAATTGTGTTATCTAGAAGCACAGGTTTGGTACATAACTTTGGGATAGTGTCTGCCTGCTAAAACAGTTAAGGATGGAAAACAATTCTCAAAATCTTCCTCTCCCCGTTAATAATCTGTGGAGGTTCTGCTAATTAGTATAGATCCTAAAACCAGCCACGGTCACACCGCCACCACCAACAACCCATGTGGTGCAGTAGGTCTGTCTGAGGTGAACTGTGAGATACATTTAGCTCTAAACTCCACTTTGAAACAGTATGAGGAGAAGTAAACGTCAAGTTTGGATTACGTGTGTTTGTCCGACGTGGAACACATTTCTCTGTCTCCATGCTCATGAGTGCCCACTTAAGTGCTCAAGACTACAAGCGTGGGTATTAGAACAGACCCCTTCTCTTTCCTTTGGGCCTTTAACACTTGGAGAACAACAAGTTGTTCGACAGAGCCCTGATTGTGATCTTCATGTGTGTATATGTGTCCTGTGGTTAACACAATAAGTGTGACTATTACAACGCAGGAAATGGGAGTGAGTGGTACAAACATTAACTGCTGAGGTCAGGGGGTGGGGCAGGAGGCATGTAGGTTGCGTTGTGCATTACCAGAAATGTATAAGGTAAACAAGCAAAGATATTGGGTTATTGGGCTTTAGAGTCTGGGGGGTGTTTTATTGTGATACCCCAACACATCTGCATCTTCCAGGTGCAGTTAATATCAATCAGCTCAGTGTAGATGATTGAATGTTGTCCTGGACCACCCCAGGGTCCATAACTCTCTCAGGAGTTGATTTTAGTCTGAAATACACCAAAGGGTTCCCACAGAGGAAAGGATATTGTGTCAGCCTGCTTCTGTAAGTTTCTGAAACCAGCAAAATAGCAGCCACACCCATTTTCCACAGGATTTACCAAGTCTGAAAATGGGCCGAGTCTCATTACAGTCTATAGGTTCGTTTGTTGTGAGCTGCTCCTCACCTAAAATGTGGACGTGAGCAAGCGGCGTCAGCAGGGAGTGGAGCTGACAGACAGCTTCCAGCAGCCTTTAGTCTGTGTCCAATCATTTTAATTATGACAGGCTGCCTAATAAGATGCTGCACAGGTGATCTGTGCTCTCTGTTCATGGTTCAACCTCCATTTTATATGGATTCTCATTGAAATCAGCATCATATTAGTTTGCTGCTATATGTAAATTAACTAGGCAGCCCTAACCCTGCATCAAACTGCATAGATATATGACAGTACTTAAAAATAGCCAAATACAACCGAAAGAAATACAAGAGAATAGCTTTCATTATTGATCTGTCATATATTCAAACTGTCGGGGATTCACATCTGTATAGATGTTATGTTAAGAAAACCTACATCCCACTTACCAGAAGTTTTGTTGTTGTCAAATGCTGTAAGAGTTAAACCAGCTCCAAGAGTGTTAGTATACAACAGACAAGAACTACATATTGTATGCAGTTTAAGCAGATGTAGATGTGTAACCTGAATGTATTCAGCCTCTCTGACTGATGAGCGTCACCATCAACCACACATGTAGAATTAAAATCAGACAATTACAATTTCTCTAATTCAACCAAAATTAACACATTTTGTTGAGTCATCTAAACCAATCAGCTGTTAGATCAGATGAGGACCAGGCGGTTCTCATCATGGCCTGAGGCTGACCAAAAACTAGAGACTGCAGCCACCCTGAGCTTCATGATTTTATTGTTGCATACATATGCTTGAAATTGGAACAAGTTAGGATTAGGTCGGACCGAAATCTAACTGGCACGCATTGTGTGGCCATCTCCGGGTGAATGAATCTGTGGATGTTTTGCTCATCTCGAACAAGCCTTATTTCCTCTCTGCCCCAGCCTGAAAATGACAGTAAAATTAAGTGCCTGCACTTTTACAGATTTGAGCTGAAAGCGGACAAACTCAATTAAGGTCCTAAAAGTTTGTGCCTGTTGGAGCTAAAGACTACAAGTTTAAAAATTAAAGAAGTTATAGTTTGAAAGAACTGAGCTTTGTAGCCTCTGTTGCTTTCTCTTGATCTCTGCTTGAGGTTAGTGGCTCACGGTTACACCCCCATCATGCCAACCAACAGTTTGACATATGTTATTCTATATATTTATTTATAGCAGTTGGTGATTGTGATCAGATCACATACGTTATGCTGCCTTTTTAGTGTAAAGCTTCTCCGGGAGTTGAAAAAACACTGCGTGCTCAAGGACTGTGGTTTGGGCGTAGCCTCACACCTCCATCAACCAAAGTAAGTTTCACCGCAAGAGGAGGCGTAATGAGAATGTAATCCTAGATGAAGATTTGGATCTTGAACTGCAGTGTCGTCCCAAAAGACCAAGACGGATTTGTTCCTAATTAGGTCCTGACCCCTTTGTTGATACACTACCCTCGTTGAGCTTGACACTACCATGACGTCACATGTTATCAAATTCCTGGTCTTGTTCTAACACTGGTATTTGTTTGAGTGGTCACTTCTTGTAATTAGGTGTGTGCATTTGTGTGCAAGCAGACTGTAACTGTGGTCACCCCATAAGGTCATAATCTGTAGCAAGAAATACAATACCATGCTACAGCACAGACTGTTCTCCAGACACCATTAAACACGATACCTACAGTTGAAGCCAGACGTTTACATACACTATATAAAAAGAAACATAACCTTTTTTTTTTCTCACTGTCTGACATTACATCTGACTAAACTTTTCCTGTTTTAGGTCAGTTAGGATTATAAAAATTATTTGTATTCGCTAAATGCCAGAATAATGAGAGACAGAATTTTTTAGAGATTTTTTGTATTATTTTCTTCAAAGTCAGTTTAAATACATGTCCTTAGTATTTGGCAGCATTGCCTTTAAACTGTATTTCTTGGGTCAAACGTTTTGGGTTTCCTTCCACAAGCTTCTCACAATAGTTTGATAGAGTTTTGGCCCATTCCTCCTGACAGAACTGGTGGAACTGAGTCAGGTTTGTAAGCTGCCTTGCTCCACACACCTTTTCAGCTCTGCCCACAAATTTTCTACAGGATTGAGATCAGGGCTTTGTGATGACCACTCCAAAACGTTGACTTTGTTGTCCTGAAGCCACTTTGTAACTAATTTGGCGTTATGTTTAGGGTTGTTGTCCATTTGGAAAACCCATTTGCACCCAAGCTTTAACTTCCTGGCTGATGTCTTGAATATTTCCACATAATGTTTTTTCCTCATGATGCCATCGATTTTGTGAAGTGCACCAGTTCCTCCTGCAGCAAAACATCCCCACAACATGATGCTGCCACCCCCGTGCTTCACAGTTGGGATGGTGTTCTCAGGCTTGCAAGCTTCCCCCTTTTTCCTCCATATGTAACGATGGTCATTATGGCCAAACAGTTCAATTTAGTTTCATCAGACCACCAGACATGTCTCCAAAAATGAAGGTCTTTGTCCCTGTGTGCATTGGCAAACTGTAATCTGGCTTTTTTTATGTTGCTTTTGGAGTAATGTCTTCTTCCTCTCTGAGTAGCGTTTCAGTCAATGTCAGTACAGGACTCGTTTCGCTGTGGATAATGACTCTCTCTTACCTTTTTCAGCCAGCATCTTCACAAGGTCTTTTGCTTTTGTTCTGGGGTTGATACACACATTTTTCACTAAAACACTTGATCTCTGGGACTCAGAACCCGTCTCCTTGCTGAGTGCTATGATGACTGGACATTCCCATGGTGTTTATACTTGTGCATAATTGTTTGAACAGATGAACATGGAAGCTTTAGGCATCAGGAAACTGTACCTAAGGATGAATCAGACTTCTGGAGGTCCACAATTCTCTTCCTGATACTGTGGCTGATTTCTTTAGAGTTTCCATGTTGTCACAAAAGGAAGCAGTGTGTTTGAGGTGTGTCTTAAAATACATCCACAGATGTATCTCCATTTAATTCAAATGTTGTCAATGAACCAATCAAAAGCTTCCAAAGCCATGACATCATCATCTGGGCTTTCCCAAATAGTTTGAAGGCATCGTGATCTTAGTGTATGTCAACTTCTGACTTTGAAGAAAGTAGTAAAAGATTGTCTAAACAATTCTGTCTCTTATTACACTAGCATTTAGCAAACAGGTTTATTTTTTCATGTAATCCAAAACATTGCATCCTTCAATATATTTGTGTCCAAGTTGCTGTGGATCAGTTCACAGTTTCAAATCTAAACCTTCTTAATGTTTGGATGACTAAACAAAGATTCAGTTTAGCCTGATTTTAACAATTCCATGCTCATTTCAAAACTAACTGCATATAGTGTTATTCATGGCCTAACTTCAGTATTTCTTGTGCCACGTCCTCCTCTCGTGGCATATGTATCTCGTGTATATGTATCCTTTTTTCTAAGAACGACACAGAAAAAGCAGATAATTCAGCTTTTTAATGGGATCTATATATTTGACCTTGTTACGCATCATATTAACCCTACTTCNCACAGACTGTGCTCCAGACACCATTAAACACGATACCTACAGTTGAAGCCAGACGTTTACATACACTATATAAAAAGAAACATAACCTTTTTTTTCTCACTGTCTGACATTACATCTGACTAAACTTTTCCTGTTTTAGGTCAGTTAGGATTACCAAAATTATTTCTATTTGCTAAATGCCAGAATAATGAGAGATAGATTTTTTTAGAGACTTTTTTTTTATTACTTTCTTCAAATTCAGAAGTTTACATACATTTCCTTAGTATTTGGTAGCATTGCCTTTAAACTGTATGACCTTGGTCAAACATTTTGGGTATCTTTCCACAAGCTCCTCACAATGGTTTGATAGAGTTTTGGCCCATTCTTCCTGATAGAACTGGTTTAACTGAGTCAGGTTTGTAAGCTGCCTTGCTCCACACACCTTTTCAGCTCTGCCCACAAATTTTCTACAGGATTGAGATCAAGGCTTTGTGATGGCCACTCCACAACATTGACTTTGTTGTCCTGAAGCCACTTTGTAACTAATTTGGCGGTATGTTTAGGGTCATTGTCCATTTGAAAGACCCATTCATTCCCAAGCTTTAACTTCCTGGCTGGTGTCTTGAATATTTCCACATAATGTTCTTTCCTCATGATGCCATCTATTTTGTGAAGTGCACCAGTTCCTCCTGTAGCAAAACACCCCCACAACATGATGCTGCCACCCCCGTGCTTCACAGTTGGGATGGTGTTCTCAGGCTTACAAGCTTCCTCCTTTTCCCTCCAAATGTAACGATGGTCACTATGGTCAAACAGTTCAATTAAGTTTCATCAGACCACCGGACATGTCTCCAAAAATTAAGGTCTTTGTCCCTGTGTGCATTAGCAAACTGTAATCTGGCTTTTTTATGTTGCTTTTGGAGTAATGTCTCCTTCCTCTCTGAGTATCATTTCAGTCCATGTCAGTACAGGACTGGTTTCACTGTGGATAATGACACTCTCTTACCTTTTTCAGCCAGCATCTTCACAAGGTATTTTGCTTTTGCTCTGGATTGATACGTACACCTCATATCTGGGACTCAGAACCCGTCTCCTTCCTGAGCGCTATGATGACTGGACATTCCCATAGTGTTTATACTTGTGTATAATTGTTTGAACAGATGAACGTGGAACCTTTAGGCATCAGGAAACTGTACCTAAGGATGAATCAGACTTCTGGAGGTCCACAGGCCTCTTCCTGATATCTTGGCTGATTTCTTTAGAGTTTCCAGAATAAATGTGGTGTTGGAACAAAGGTGATGGTTAACTTAAACTAAGAGTGAACTCTACCCAAAACAACAACCAAAACGACACTAAACTATGGGAGTTCCGACTTACCTATCAAAATAAAAGTATCAAAAGTAAACACAAAGTCTGGCCTCTGTCTAATGTAAACAGGAGAAAAAGAGTTTAAATAAAAAGGTAGCAGCTCGCTCTATCCACACAGATTCTACTAAATGCAAGTCCGCTGAAGGTGGTGCGTGTGCCGGTTGGGATGCCGGTGAAGGATGGCCCTGCCCATCTGACCCTCTCTGCATACCGGCAAAGTCCTCCTTCCGTATTTAATCCCGGAACTTCCGTTGATCAGCCAATCCAGTCCTCGCTATGGCGCAGCCCTATTTACATATTAACTAGGAACACACAGATCAAAGGAAAAAATACCATTCTATAAACAAGTACGACCGTAGTCGTAACACCTACCTAGCAAGTGAATTTTGAAAAAATGCCTTATATTTACAACTTCTACTGCTGCTGCATTCCTGTCATCTCACTATTCAAGTCTTAACTGTTGGTCCAATCAACCAAAGTCCATTATTTAACCTAATTAAACACCAATTGGATTTATTGTTATATTTATTGCAATGTTTTTTGAATGCAGTATTTTTAATGCTCAGGTGCAGGAATACGTGTTCCCACTTTGGTGAACGTTTGTAAGAAAAAGAAAATCTAATCTACGCTGGATTCATTGATTTAGCTATGATATGTGGTCGCCCTTTATTTTTTAATTTTTTTAGACAATTTTGAACAAATAACATTTTCTGTAATTTTGCTTGCAGTTCATCGTCTGTGATGTCAATTTATTGTCGAACATAGTTTGCTCTGTATTTATAAAAAATGTAGAGACAAAAAAAAAATATATCCTTTTTTCTAAGAATGACACAGAAAAAGCAGATAATTCAGGTTTTTAATGGGATCTATATATTTGACCTTGTTACGCATCATATTAACCCTACTTCTTCATGTCGCCTTAATTTACAGATTCTGGTTGGCAAAATTTGCGTGATGTTGGACCACGGTGTGCAACGACTACTTCAGTGATAGACAATTCAGTCAAACAGAGATGTCTAACTGACACCAGTTCTGACATAAAAGGCAATTCTTCACAAACCAAATGAATAAGTGACAGACCTGAGCAGGTTTTTAAGTGCAGTTTCAGTTTTTGTTTTGTTTTGCCGTCTCTTATTCCTCGCCTTTTCTTCTCAGTTCTCCTTGAGGGCACTATTTGTGAGGATGTGAAAAGCCGCAGCCATTAAGGCCTCCATTGTTCTAGTGCAAAGAGAAGACACACATTGTGAATCGCATAAACTTTCAATTGTTCTGTGTGGGGTCAAACGGCGAGGTCCCTTTTGTTTGAACTTCCTCGGAGTGGCATAAAAGAGACAAAAAAAAAGAGGTTGTTGGCTTAGCTTTAGAAACTCCACGGGGTTTTCAGTGTCAAAGGTCTTCGGAAAGCTTAGAGGTTCAATCCGGGACACACCAGTCACTGGAAGATTGGTTGAGTGGTTTTGGTTTCAAAGCAAAGTCAGATGTCAAATGTAAAGAAAAAATCTATTCGTTTGCATATGTTCAAATGCACACGCTGTCCTGGGTTCATATGAGTTCATATGTTTCTTGTTAATATTCAAGCCAACTGCTGGTAACCAAACGACTCCAAGGACATGACTAGCATTTACTGCAAGTCTGACATTGAGACACAGTAGGCCTCATTTGTAGATTGTATAGACAACATAAAAGCCATAAAATCCCCATAAACATCAGCTCACACCTCGTTCACATTTCTGTCAATGGGTTGCTTCCTGTAGGTGGTTTGTTTGAAGTGAAACTGTGGTTGGAAACTTTTTCCAGCGGCAGTTTGAGGGTCTTAGAAATAAACACCCGTAACATCTCCAGGCTGTACATCTTCTGTAGGTTTATGCTTCGTTTCAGGTCAAGGGGTTGTTTGTGTGGACCGGTTGTGGTCAGAGAGCTTCCACCATGTCAGAGGCGCTGCTCAAATGTGACCATGCAAGTAAAAGCAGACATTAAAGCTTCAGTTCAGCTGCCATTCAACAATAAGAGAACCTTGGATATGTAGAGTGTAGTGTAGATGGTTTAGAGTAAAGGCCAGTCTCTCTGCCTCCTTAAAGCTGCAGAGTAAGCAAGTAGAAGAGATGAATGGCCTGAGACAGTAGGTGTGTGACGTCCAAGCTATTGTGTCTGGGTTTGCTGCCAAATCCGAGGCCCCAGGCGACCTGTTACGATGCAGTACCTAGGACCATCCCTGATGAATTTTGCTTGAGCCAAGTGTATTTTTAGCCAACAGGACGTTATGTAACAAGTACCTGTCATGTGATCTGTACATAGAGAGATGAGAAGAAGGAGGCCTCAGAAAGGAAGGGGGGCGGAGGGAGACTTCGACAGCGGCCTTTTCGGTGCCTCAGACAAAAGACAGCGCCGCCGTCCTCCTGTCCGACTTGATAAATGCATTTTTGTGTTAACGCAAAGGAATTGCATTAACATTAACAAAGCGGTGCAGCCTTTCTGTTACGTACTCGTCAGGACTTTGGCACTGAGCTGGTGCCTGGTGAGCTCATGATAATGCCTCGCTGACCTACAATGATTGATGCAGAATACGTAACTGTTGCGTTAAAAAAAAAAAAAACACAGGCAAAGGATGAAGATGAGATGGGATGTCTGGGTCCAGTAAATCACATTCACAGATAGTGAATAAGTGAACATCAGCTCCTTCATCGGACTACGTTCTGTTTACTTTTACTTAAATAACGACATGTAGTGACACAAATGTGTTGTTAAAAGTTGTATTTTTGTATTTGTGCTGACACACTGTAAAATGTGAAAAGTTGATCTTACTTAAACAAATCTAGGAAACACTCCAAAAAAACAAATAACCATTAGTCTTAATTTCAGTTTACTTCATATCTACTTGTAAAGTTTACCTAAAATTTAGCTGTATTTATTTAATTTTGTGAACTTAAAAATAGCAAGCATAATGAATTTGATCTTTCCAAGGTTTAGAAACTTAAATAATAATAATTGATCAGATTTAACGAGCACTTTTGTAGACACTCAAAGTCGCTTTACACTGTCAATTATTCATTCACACACATTCATTCTGGTGAGCTACCATTGTAGCCACAGCTGCCCTGGGGCACACTGACAGAGGCATGGCTGCCATTCTGCCCCTCCAACCACCACCTCAACAATCCATTCATACGCATTCACACCAGGCAAGGTGGGTGAAGTGTCTTGCCCAACGACCATGAAACAGGTTACAGGGTGGAATCAAACCGCCAACCTTCCGATTATTGACCAACTCACTCTACCACCTGAGCCACAGCTGCCCCGTAAAGTTTCCGGAAACTTCTCCTGCACTTCTCTACTGCACATGCTGAGCTCTGTGTTCAATCCAGGAACAGAACGTTTCAAGTCCAGTTTACTAAAGTATACTTAGATTTAGAACTCTTTAAGGAAAACTCAGTACATACTCACAGTCCATGAGTTAAATAAACAGGACAATGATAAATACGTAATGTACACTAATATGATTCAAGTAAGCATTGGTATTATCTTTTAGAGTGCATTGAAGGTGGAGAAGAAAGAGAGCTAAAGAACAAATGTGGCACCTTCTCTGAAAAAACACAGGAAAAGAATGTTGCTTCCGTGCTGAAAAGATCATGCATGTTCTGTCATTACTGAAAAGGAAACAGTTATACTCACATTGATGCCACAGAGGATAAATTTTCTGTTACTGAAGACTTGGAGTGTGGTGTTTAGAGGGGTAAGATGTAAATCACTCCTGAGTAACTGGGTCACCATGATAAAGAGGAAACAAAATGTGTTTACCTACAGTAGTTGGCTGCGATAGAAATGACTGCATGGAAAGTCTCATGTCTTTCTATAATGGGACCTCCTCTGTCCTCAGGCACTCTGGAGCCTCATCTGTCTGCCCTGCTTTGGATAGCCATGCTGGTGTCTCTGGCGATCGTCATAGTCCTGCCTCAGCCTCACGGCATCAGGGCACTCATTGCCTCCACCATCCTACGCCTGATCTTCTCTGTAGGCTTGGAGCCAACGTTACTCCTGCTGGGGGGTTTCAATGTAAGTATGTGTTGTAGAAAAGCCAATGAGAACTTCCAATGTCAGATCAAGGCGTACTTGACCTTCCAGTAGATGGTTGAATGACACAAGACACACCTAAAAAACCTATAATTTAATCTGCTCACGCACGAATAATGTGTACACAGTGCGCAACATCAAACCATTCAACCAATATTTCATATTCAAGTGGACATGCAGACTTATTGGTTTCTGAGGCAACATTATAGTTGCTAATAGAAATGTCACTCATACTGATTAGGTGTTGATGCATAACCTTAGGAGATTCCACGCTTCTCTCAGAGCAACGAGCATTTGAAAATCTTACTACTACTGAGTAAGCCCACCTTGAGCATGCTGTATAATATTTCTAAATGTTGTGTGGTTCTGTTGTTCCTCAGTTATGTAATAAGGTCATCTTCCTGACGAGCTTCGTTGGGAACCGAGGAACCTTCACACGTGGATACTTAGCCATGATCATGGATGTGGAGTTCCTGTACCACCTGCTCTATCTGATTATCTGCTCCCTGGGGGTCTTTGTCCATGTCTTCTTTTACAGCCTGCTAGTATGTGAGCGCACACACAAAACATATAATGTTAGCACCATATACGTAATATACTGAAGTAATAATACCAATACTTGTTGTATACAATTGTTCATTTGCATTACTACCGAGAGAAATGTAAGATTTACTAGCCCACATGCTCCCATTTGCACACAAAGTTCTTTCTTTTTAATGCACATGTTCCACGAACTACTCTAGATACTCTACACACATCTCTAAATCCTTCCTCTTTCCAGCTCTTTGATCTGGTTTACCGAGAGGAAACTTTGCTGAACGTAATAAAGAGCGTCACCCGCAATGGCCGCTCCATTGTTCTGACAGCCGTGTTGGCTCTTATCCTCGTCTACCTCTTTTCCATTGTGGGCTATATCTTCTTCAAAGATGACTTCATTTTGGCAGTCGACAGGATACCCAACAAAACACTAGGTACGCTGAAATACAGGTTTCTGCTCGTTCTGTTACTGGGACAAACACATTTCTGCCCTCTCTGACCCAGTAACTCAAGAGGCTGAAACATGGAATGTTTTCCTCTGTCACAAATGCACACTGGAGTTCTGAAAGACATTCGTTTAATTAATTTACATGCATTTACTTTAAGACGACCCACCTTGCTTTTAGCAGAACCTACACTTTGTAATATATTAAGGTTGTCACGATCAGTATGCATTGTGGAAAACTAAATGTTTGATTCACAAATATGTGCCATTTGTGCAGTTGCATAATGTCTTGTGTTCCCAACTGAATAGAACATGGAGCCAGCATGGTCGGAGAGTTCTTCTCTGGCGGAGTGTGTCAAAAAGAAAATGGAGAAAACTGTTCAACAGAGACCATGATGGATGGTAGGTTGACGAAAGCAAAAGGTAAACGTGTTTACTGTTATAGTATGTGGGGTGCCGGCTGAGTGACGGGGTCAAAGCTTGAATTCCCGTTCTTGGGCATGCATGTCTCTCAAGGCATTCTCAAGTGTTTGTGTGCGACTGTATGCTTGTGTCTTGTCAGTGTGTGAAGGTTCTTCTGATTCACCCACAGTGGATTGGTCCCCCTGAGCTGCACATGAGGGCAGCAGGGTGGTCATGGGATTAAAACCGGCTCGACCAACTCGGGGGATTTCAGGGAGCGGGGTGAAATGCCAGGGGTTTAGACTCATTGTGGTCTCAGGGGGCTGACCCTAAAACCTGATGTAGCAGGGGCCCAGGGTTGAAAGGTCAGGGATTACTTACCATCAGGTACAAGTAGGTCGATGGGTCCACTCAGTGATGGCGCAGAGAGCCTCTCGCTGCACACAAAGAGTTCCTGCAAACCGACTGACCTTGATGGGAAAGGCTACCATTCAAAGATGAATACATGCACCACCCTAAAATTAATCGCCCAAGCATGTTAAATCCTCAAACTGCCTGGTGCCTGACCTTGTCTGGGCTTCCCGATCTATCATCACCAGACTGGCTAATTATAGCAGTCTGGTGACTTGTTTTTTTGTGGATAGTTTGAGAAAATTCCCAATCTCATTAAGGTCTCACAGAGCCCTGATGGGGCTGATTCAATAAGCCAATTATAGACTACGCATTCACATATGAAATTAAAGCTCAAATGCTTATAGCGCATCTAAATTCATCTGCTTTTAGTGTAGCTTTCGTTTTTAATTAATTGGTGTTAAAGTTGTTATGGACAAATTATGTCGGTGAGGCTGGTTGAGCAGACAAAGCTTTGCATCCAGCCTAAACAGGATCTGACAGTTAACTTTCTGGTATGTCTCCATAGCTTCCCTCGCTATCCAGCCATCAGCAGTGGTGATTGAAGACAAGGAGCGAACGTGTGACTCCTTACTGATGTGCATTGTCACAGTACTGAGTCACGGTCTCAGGAGCGGAGGAGGCGTCGGGGACGTCCTGCGAAAGCCTTCCAAAGAGGTACATAGAGCAACAAAAGAAGAAATCACAGCCAACTTTTTGATGGTGTGAAGGTCACTTTCATTAAATGTCCAAAATAATCTTTTTTTTTTTTTATCCTGTTTTGTCTTTCAAATCTACCGTCTGCAATCTATTAGATTATAGCAATTGCCTCCCAAGCCTTTACACTGATAACAACAGACCCCGACACACATCAAGCATCAAACACATCCCCTTACCACGCAGACAAAGATTAAATTTAGTCAAATTAAATTAAAGTAGATTCAGATATGATAGGAGATCTCAGAGGAAGCATTTATGTTTTAATGAGGCAATAAAAGGATCAGCTATTTAATTTTCTCCTACTTCAAAAAGTAAAGAACATATGTGACCCGATGAGCAAAAAATAGAACCGTTGGCAAATTCAATATCTTAACGCTTAAGAATGCCTTGGAAGAAGTGACGCAAAGGCTACAGCGTGTTTGAAGAAGCTCTGTCTGACTGAAAGTTGTGCTCTGCTCAAAGGTTAAAGAGGTTGCATAGAGGAGTTTCATAACTCCAAACATGCCAGAAAAAGCATTAATGGTGCTTATCTAGGATTGAAGACGAGCTTGTACGCTACGACATGCTTTAGATCTGCAGCTTGACCCACAGAATGAGGCCATGACTCATACGCACTTATATAAACTTCGCTTAGCTTAACGTTCGTGTGAATTCTCTGTTCAGCTGTGTCAGGTCGTGTTAGACAGAAGGGTGACTTGTGTTTAACTGGATGGTACCCTGCATGCAAGTGTTGATGCTAGTAACAGCATAAAAAAAAGGGAGAGTATGAATTGAGTTTGCATTTACATAAATATAGCTTTTTTCTCTGTAGGGTAAATGAGATACGTCCTAGTTTTAAATAGAACATGACATTTGATATGTTGCAGCAGTGAACAGTTTATAGCTCTGATGGTAGATTTAGAATCATTTAGGAAGTCCTTTCTACTCAAACATGTGTTTACTTTGCTTGGATTCTTTAGCATCACTGACATATGTGCACTTACATTAAATCTCAGTGCGTACAAAGAAGCATGATTTGTGGTGTAGCATGCAACACCTGTAAGTGTAATGTGAGAATTGAAACCTCAGTTACATAAGCACTTAAAAGCAAGTGTTCAGCAGGGCACTGTATTCGTAGATTCTTATTTTTTTTTAAGCAAGAAGAAAGAGTGGGCATACTTTTAGGAATCAAGAATGATGATGTAAATAAAATGTTGTTAAAGAACAGCATATCAGACACATACTGTTATTGAAAATAGATATTTTCACATATTCTTATGAGATTTAATTAAGTCTGTATTCATGTATTATGAGCTTAGGAACTTGTAAACTTTGATTTGTGTTACTCTGTGACCTGCTGTACACAACTTCACGTCAGGCTAAATATTCCCACTAAGTGTGACACATGAGCTCAGATTGCTCCATCTCATAAGTTCTCCCCCTCCTTTGGCTTCGACAGGAGCCCCTGTTTGCAGCCAGAGTTATCTACGACCTGCTCTTCTTCTTCATGGTCATCATTATTGTCCTCAACCTCATCTTTGGTGTCATCATCGATACATTTGCCGACCTGAGAAGCGAGAAGCAGAAGAAAGAGGAAATCCTGAAGACGACATGTTTCATTTGCGGTGAGGAAATGCATTAAGACATGTTTTCTTTGGTGCTCTGCGTGGTGATTGAGGAAAATTAAGAGAAATCAGGAGGCAAAACGCTATATTGTTGGCTGCTTAATGTAGTCATGGGCACTTTTTGTTTTGTTTTTTTTGCATTAAAGCCATTCTGCCTGCTCAGCACTCACTATTGTTTGTCAGCCTTATGGGAATGTGACTCATGAATTTTGACATATCTTTTCCCATCTTTACTGTATAGTTGTCGTACTCCCTTCTAAGAATTAAAAAAAAAAAAAGCCTTTCAGTTCAGTCGAGTTGAAGCCGTAATCTGTACTTCGCACGCTGCAAACTTTCGCTGAGCGGCACAATCAGCAGGTGTGAACGCCAGAAGCCTGCAGATGATGACGAAATGTTGAGAAATCCAGTGAGTGGTCTGCTCTCAGCCCGCTCTTGTACGAGCATGAGACTGCCGTGATGCACATTCACATCAGGGCTGTTTGCAAAATGGGGGCTGTTTTTCTGGGTAAACAACCCAACGCCTCCTCTTCCCAGAACAGTTAGTCATGACAGGTGCTGCTGTGGAGGAGGAGTGTTCCTTCCTGTTGCCATATGGGTCTTGACCATGTTAGACTGTACACACACTCAGACACCAGCCTCATTTGCTGCAGAACAGTCACTTTTTTTTACGCAGTTTATCTAAATAATCTGTGGTCAGCTTTTTGTTGTGAAACACTATTAAGGGTTATTCCTATTTTGCAAAGGCAATGCAAGAATGTGCAAGGATTACAGGGATTTGGTGTGACAAACAGAACATTTTTAGCAAATCTTGCTTCTGACGTTTTGTCTGCCCATTCCCTCATGACCTCTTTTCATCTTGTTTTTTTTTTCAGTCAGTCATGCTCATTTAGGTCACAAGAATGATTATGTCATCTTGTAACACAAAGTCCATTTCTTCACTCTTCCTGAGAAATGAGAATAATGCTTTTTTTTGGGTGTGTGTGTGTTCCTGGTGTGTGGGGTTGTATCCTTTTTTTTTTATTCTTAGGTTTGGAGAGAGACAAGTTTGACAATAAGACGGTTACCTTTGAAGAACACATCAAAGTTGAGCACAACATGTGGCACTACTTGTTCTTCATTGTCCTGGTGAAGGTCAAGGACTCCACAGAGTACACTGGCCCAGAGAGCTACGTGGCTGAAATGATCAGGGTAAGGATGTTGTCATGCACACGCGTTTTGCTCTTCAGCTGCTCAAACTTTCCACTACAGTTTTTTTTTTTCCTTTAAATTTACACAGCAGGGACTTTTTTTTATAGGTGAACCTAAAGAAGGTCAAGTAATACCAGACCATCTGCAGCCCCTGGAAAGTCTTCTAAGCAAAAACCCTTAGAAGATATTAAAAAGTCTTTCATTTCGGTTAACAGAGGACTTGAGTATCGCCTGCTTATAGAAAGTAATAGCAGTAATTTTATGAGGCTGTATGACTCATAGTAGCACCCATGTTCAATAAAACGTCAAGCTTTTTTTTTTCTTTTTTTAAATAATTCATTCATCCATCAGTTTGCTGCCATGTATCTGGACAGAGGTGATATTAGCTGAATATATTAGGGGTACGATGCAAGTGTTTCATACATACAGCTGTAAAGTTCTGACAAATGTCCACAAATTCACCCTAATTTTAGGCCTTTTCTAGCTTTCCTCTATTCTCTGAGCAGTATTCTTGTTAAAATGATATTAAAATGCATTACTGTGCATGTGGTGTTAAAACATAAATTGGTAAACACTGCAGCAACTCTGAAATGCATTTGTTTTAAGCTTTCTTGTAGCTCCTACCTTGCTAAACAGGTCTCCCTCAGGTCCTTTCCCCCGTACAGGTAACGGTCTACGTGTGACTACGCAGGTAGAATTACCGTGTTCTATATATAAGCTACTGATGTGGTCTTTGCTGAGGTTAACCTTCACTCCTGAAGAACACTGCAGGCGCTTTGTGACTCTAGCATTCGGGTTTATATGGGTTTGGACAGAACTGATTGTTTCAGCCTTTTTGTTTCCTGCACTTTACTTCTTTCTTCTTTTTTTTTACCTCATTTGCCCCAAAGTACCAGCACTGCCTTATGTAATCCCTGCCTCCGTGCCCTTGAATCCTTCCAAAGTATTATCACATCAGTAAGCTTTGTGAATGGAGAATTAACATTCAGACAGAGTCTGCCATTGGCATAAAATGTGTTAATCCCCCTAAGCAGCCATGCCTTGCTTTAATCATTAAACGCACACAGACACACAGGTCTCACCCTGCATATCACCACACAATCGGGCTGAGACGGACCAGCACCTGGAAACATTTACAGGTTGTCTTATACTTACCATTTTTATGTTACGATTGTTCGTGTTGCGAGTTCTAACGAAAGCTCTACCGTGAACAAAAAAAAATGTAATCGCGACTTGTGAGTGCGGATGTTTGTCGTCGCAAATACGAAACACAGCAACGCATCAGATACGTGCGCTTCCAGTTTTTTAGGCCAGAAGTGATTCAACCAAATGCATCTGTGGGAATTTGCCATTAAAAAAAAAAAAAGACGAACGAGCGAAAATTGATTGTTTTGATTGTCGCATCACACTCATAGCTTGTGAGCAGTTACAAAGCATTTTAACTGCCAAAGGAAAGCCCCTTCTTCTGAAGTGGTTGCTTCCCTGACGCACTTGTGCTGCTGTCAGTTTCTGACACAGTTTCTTAATAGGTGCTATTTAGCCCACTTTCCTGCCTTTTGCGTTGATCAGCTACACTTAGTCTTGTGAGGAACCACCTGATTTGGGATTAACCCTCATACTCTCTCCCATTAACCTTGCACCCCGCCGAGCCAAAATCAGTTTGTCAGGGGTGCACTCTGACCAGCAAAGAAGGCGCACATTATCTGAAAAACCCCAATGACCCATCAGCTGACCCAGTCATCCTTAACATTTGCTTTCAGCTTCACATGCAAGTGTTTAATGCAGAGCCTCCACGTGTTTGTTGTCTCAGTTGTCTACAAAGATTGCAGTGTTCACGGAGCTTCTCTCAATAAACATGTTTGTTACTCCATTTACAGAGGTTACACTGAGGTTGAGGTTCAGTGGACTGTATGGAAGGAATCCCTTTACATTTTTTTAAAGATTTTTTTGGGGGAAACTTTGATATAAATACAGACCAGAAATACAGGAAGAGAAAAGGACTGCATATAAGTTGTGTGTTTTATTTTGTAAAATATATATGTACATTAAAAAAAAAAACTATGCAAGCAAAAGTGCAGTGTATAATATCTATTTTTTATTTACAAAATAAAGTATCAAGTATATATTAAGTACCAAGAAGGTATATTTCAAAACAGCATAATAGTAATTAAACAGTAGCATTTGTACCGAATCAGCTGTTCTGCCTCACGTTCAAGTCACAAGCAGGTCTCGAGTCTTAACCACCAAATCTCAAGCACGTCCCAAGTTATCCTTGTGAAGATCAGGCCAGTTAAACTGAGTCATTGCTCGGGTCAAGAAAGTCACAAGTCAAGTCATACACAGTTCTGGTGATGTAGCCCAGTTTCACATTTACATTATTATTATTAAGGTAGCCATCATGAAATTAATAATTATTAACGTTAACAGATGCTATTGCAGGCTGCCTACACGTTATGAATCTGTTTGGTATTTGACATTTTGTGGCAGTCAATAACAAGCCTCCTAAGTGAACACAACAGAGAGCCGGGTTCTGAAATTCTAACGTAGCAGTACAGCTGTAAACGGCTTGAAACTGAAAACAGAGACAACAAACAACAACACACACACCTCATGAGAGTCACACCACTTTGGCCTATTAACACATTTGTCTAAAATAGTCATTAAAGATGATCAGAGGCGTAAGTTACAGAGCTCATGGTCACCATGGCAGGTTTTTTTTAATTAAAGTTGCACTTGAAGTGTCATTTGAAAACATTGAGTTAAGGATGAATAAATAATGTTTGACATGATGTATTCTTCATTCCTTCTTTAATGTTTATCTACTGGCTGCTTTGCAGTGATTAGTAGGCCTAATAATATGTTGTAGGAATATCACATTCTCAAATTAAATATTTACGCACCTCCTCTGATTATTAATTAGGCTTCATTAGGCTATAAACTAACCCTTAGCTATAAAACAACAGCATCCAGTTCACGTCCTCTTTAGTCATTTAGTCTAAGTCTGAAGTCATGATTACCGACTCAAAGTCAAGTCGAGTTTTGTTTTTCAGTGTTAGTCAAGCAAGTCTTATCGACTCAAGTTTGTCTTGAGCTAAATGTCGCCTTTAACCCTGTTCAGGACTTTTGGGGTCTTTTGGACCCCAGGCCATTTGGTTCATTTTTTAAGATTTTTTATATATATGTATATATAAAGAGCAACATTTGTCATGCAATTGGAACCAAAAATACATCAACTTATCAGAAAATGTATTTAACATATTATAAAAGTCTACAATGAATACCAACAAATATTTTGCACATATTCTTTCTTGGGGTCCAAAAGACCCATAAAAGTCCTGAATAGGGTTAAAATGACTGTTAATCACTGCCAGAATTATTTAGGAACAAATGATTTCTCCCAATATTAAAACTAAATTGTATTAAAATTAATCATTGATAAATGCCTGTATTACTTTCCTGTAGTTAGGTCTTGCTGCTGTATGCTACACACTTTATTACAGATTTATTTCATCGTATTTACCTCTGATGTGCACCAGAAATGTCATGTGTGAGGCTAATTTGTTTTTTTTTTTTCTTTCAATCTGTACAGCCTCTCTCCCACTGTGTTTCGTTTTATTTGATGCTACAGTAACACAGACGACGCAACAGGACAGAAGGGGGTGTAGAAGTCAGACTACTCTGACAATGACTGGGACTGACGTCAATGGTGGAGGGCTCTGGGTGAAATGTCACGTCAGAGGTGCAAAAAGATGATGCTGGGTTCACACTCATTGCCCTCGTTCTTATTGTGCCCAGCACTGAAAGCTCGTCCTGCCCTTGAGCAGATTTCAAACATCCACAGCCGTACAAACATTTCAAAACCATAACCATCTGAGACCAGCAAAGAATGTTTGTCACTTAAATCTGCCTGTGGCTGTTCAGATAGTTTTGGGCATTTATTTGCATATTTGTTGAGTTGGGGGGCCACCAGCTAGTCAGGTGGTTTGTGGCATGACTTTGACGTTTTCTGTTGCTGTTTTAACCACAGAGCATCCTGTTTCTCTGTCATGGCCCGTGCGGTTTTAATAATGAAAAATGTACTTCCGTCATTTCCATTGAACGAGCGTGTTGTAGAGCACTAAAGCCGTGCCTGCGCTTATCACTTTACTGGAACTGCTTTCATTTGTAAACACTGGGGATGGAAAGAGGTGACAAAGTCGTCAAACGCTCGTGTGCCTTTGGCCGACAGGCAGAATCCAAAATGGGGAAATGACCTCCGTCGTGTTTCACTTTTTTTTTTTTTTTTATCTGGAGCAGAACTGCGTGTGGGAAATGGGTGGTAACAGAAAATGTTTTTTTTAAAAAAAGAAAACATGCCATCTGTAATTATTTGTGACGCTGTAATGCTAAAAATGGATCGCCTCCTTCTATTTTACATGTCAAATAAATTGCAAAAAAAAAAAAATACAGAAAGTGTGTTGGGGGCGGTGGGGAGGGGGTGTGCAGGTGAACTAGGTAAACACAGCCTCTGACTCTTTGCATTCAGGAAGTGGAACTTGCTCACAGCCGTCCTCTCCTCCTTTCAGAATGAGTGTGTGCTGCTCATTATCTTAGTGTTGTGTGATTCCCCCTCGGCCTGCCGTCTGACCCAGGCCTGGTTTGTGGTGCGCACGGCCACCTCCCTCGCCCCTACGTCTCCGAGTAAACCACTGAAACCTAGGGACTTTTTTTTTTTACAGCCCCGTCCTTTTTGGCACTGCGCTGTTTCTAGCCCGGTGACCTCAGCAGCCACGCAGCATCCTCCCTTTTCATTCATGCAGCGCTCCGGGAACGCAAGTCGCTCTGATTGAAAGCGCATGCCGCTGACATGGATGTGGGTTTATGAAGAATTAAACATAGATACGCTCACATGACTTTGGCCTATTTTGGAGAGCGCACGGTTAATGGTGGCATGTGGGAGGCGAGTGCCAAAGGAGATAGAAGCGTGAAAGAATGCAACCTCGGTGTCCTCGGATGTGTCGAGCGCAACAACCTCGGAGGTGGCTGCCGGGTTCCTTTTTTTGCTTTGTTATTAAAGTGTATTCAAATATATTTAACTTCATTCTATGGATCACTTTTATGACACAATATTTCTGTGAATTTGTGTTACTTTCCCTAAAGTTACAGTCCTTATAATATCAGCCCTAGTTTAGTAGGAACAAAAAAACTTATAAATACCATCTTATTGCTTTATTACTTTATCTAATATATGAATAAACGCAGACATGCACAGACTGATGTTGCTCACCCAGCTGTCAACAATATCAAAACCTCCAATTTCTATCAAAATGTCCCAGATAATGGCTTCAAATAGCTAAATAACACAATAAACAAACTTGACATGCTGTCACAGTCACTAAACAGTCGCTACTTCCTTCCATTCTTTGCAACAGAGGTATGTGAAAAAGTGATAAAAGATACACATCAAACATTTCTCGGTAGCTGCAGTGTGCCAGTAGTAGTTTTCAAGAGTCCCATTCATCACACTCTACCTTGTTTTTAGTAAACATCATTGCTCCAGGCAATTTTTAAGAAAGAGCTCTCAAATTCGAGGCCCCCACCCGCTCTTTAAAAAAAAAAAAAAGCCATCACACACATAACTCCAGCTGCTATGAATAGTGCACTTGATTTCAGTGAAGCAGCTTATTGCGGCTCTCGCCTGTGACTGACAGGAGCATACAGGAGTTATGTGTTTATCTCCTCACTTATCTCAGGCGACACGTGTGTAATTAAACGAGGAAGTTTCTCCGCGCTAGCTTACAGATTTCTGTAAGTTGGCCAGTTCTGTCGCCTGCATGGTACAGACTAGGCGTGACGGAAACATATCACAGGCAAGTGCGCTGCCTTTTATGAGTGATTTCAAGAATGCCTGCATATCCCATGTGATTCTAATATGGAAAGTCCCATCAAGAATAGCCTTATTCTGCTTTTAGCGTACGCGTTTAAATCGCTGCATGCAGCCAGAGAGAGAAAACTGGGTCTGAGATGACAAACACAGTTGAAATCGATGCCATTTGTGCTGTCTTGTGCCAAACCAACCAAATATGGAATTAAAACTAGTCACTTCCTAAAAAAAAAGAAAAAAGATTGAAGAAAGTGCCACAGAGAATGTGATGTTTCCATTTCATTATGTACTCTAAGCATCCAGATTTCTGTTTACCAGGAGCACAACCTGGATTGGTTTCCGCGGATGAGGGCCATGTCCTTGGTCAGCAGCGACGCCGACGGGGAGCAGAACGAGATCAGAAACCTGCAGGAGAAACTCGAGTCCACCATGAAGCTGGTGTCCAACCTCTCGGGTCAGCTAACGGAGCTTAAAGAACAGGTGGGTTCAGACTTGTGCGAGACAAAGAGTCGGCCTTTGATGTTCTGTCGCTTTATCGCAGAGAAAACGTGACGAGCGAGAAGCGTTTGTTTGAAAGACGCGGACAGCTGACGTCGCTTGAGGTTTGTTTGTTTGCCGCTCGTTGCCCTTTAGATGAAGAGCTTACTAACTGCAAAAGGCGGTGAGTCATAGTTCACAACACGGCTCATGAGGGCTGATTTTATTGTCATCATTTAGCAGCAATCTATCTTTAGCGTCTGTGAGTCTTATTATCGAGCAGTCGGATAAGATTGCAGTATTTATTTAATGATCTTCTATATTTACTGAATAAAACCTGTCTCGATATTCAAAGCAACATATAAAACTTACAGTCACTTCCTTCACAATGATTGCTTCGGCTGGTACTTTTGCAACGAATAAACACTTCCGTGCTTCTTGCTTGTGCAACAATACGTTCTGCCAATATTGCATATTAAGCCAAATAAAATTGTGCAACCGGTGCAGCGCGCTGTTTCTAGTAAACACAATTGTAAGAATGCCTTTACCCCTGAAATGAGAAGTATATGTGAGGAAGTGAATGCTTCTGCGACATTTTGACCCAGACAGGGGGAAATGATCAGTGTCGTCGGATGTCGTGAAGGGCATCGGTCACATTTTCCTGGAGATTTGACCTTCGTAAAGCCTTTTTTTTTTTTTCCAAGACACACGTTTTAAAAAGCACGGTCGTTCAGATGTCAGTATGTCAGCGTCACTCGATGGTTTTCTGCTTTCAAAGAGGAGCACAAATAGGAAAATTGCGTTACAAGCATTTTCTAGATTGTATAATTTCAAAGGAAATTGGCTGAATTAGAAAACCACGTTTCAAAAAAGAAAAAAAAAAAGGTCAGCACACTCCTGCTAACTGAGTTTATCCTTTCACTGAAATGGTATATTTCTCTACCGCGTCCATCTACGCAGAATTATTTCTCTTGAAACACTCATTACAAGACCACTTTGTCTTCTCACTTTTAATATTGTTGTGTTTCAGTGCCGAGGTGCAAATTACTACCTTATGTTCGTTAAAGTTAACTCTTAGCAGAAAAGCCATTCTTCTTCCTTCTGGTATAAAGGTTAGCATCTGTGTTATGACTCACGCGCTTTGCTTGATCTCTGAAATTTCTATCTACTAAGTTTCAATATTAGTAGTTTGTATTCTGCTGCTTTCGTCAGAACACACAGCAAAGTGGATGACGAGGCTCCGGGATTTCAAACGAATCTTTTTCTCAGTCGAGCGCCGTGCCGAGCTTTGCAAGCATTAGTCCGTTTCTGTGAAGCGACAGAAACAGACTGAATCGATGAAGGCTATAGATCAGAGGAGCCGAAAAGAGCTGATTCAGCAGAAGAGGATGCCAAAGCAGGTGGAATGATCTTTTTAAAAAAAAATAAAAAATCTCTACTTTGTTTGGTCTTCAGATGACAGAACAGAGGAAGCAGAAGCAGCGGATCGGCCTGCTGGGACACCCTCAGCACATGAACGTCAACCCTCAGCAGCCTGCGTAAGGTCGGCCCCGGGCAGCTCAGCGTCAGCTTTTTTTTTGCGTCTGGAACGGAGCGCGCAAAGTCCTCGAGCCGAGGTTGCACATAATGTAAACTGCACTGAGTGTAACTTAAAACGGTAGGGAAACACTGTAACATAGGTAGTCATAAGGCGATGTGTAGCTCTACCCCACGCACGTGTTACTCGACACTGTAACACTTCAACCCACCTCGTTCTGTTTCAGTCCAGTTGGAATTGGTGCCAAATGTTCTCTGTGTAGAAATGAATTGGATTTCTCAACACATGGCCTTTACTGGTTGAACTTGAAACATGATGTAAAGCTGACTGGACAGAAGGAATTAGTCCCCTTTTTTTGTTTGTTTGTTTTTTTAATTTAATTTAAATGTTTTCTATTTATATTTCTGGCATAATCTGCAGTATTAAATGTCTTATTTTTGTATGTCGTGCAATATTTTAAACTTAAATATGCAACCTCGTTGGTGCGTGAATTTAAGTTCCATCAATTATGTCTTATTTAAAAGCCAATGTTTTTGTTTGTGTTTTATTGTCACTGGATAAATTAGGGAGTTGTTGGCTATCTGTATTTACATAGATATAATATTTAATAAGCTGGCCTTCTTAAATTTTACTTTCTTTTATTTCTTGAAAAATGTGCATACTTCTTGATAGAGATAGTATATTGTGTGAGAGCAATATATACAGATAGTTTACCTTCACCTCTGTAAATCCAACGGTGTCATATCTCAGTGCTAACTTATTTCATGATAAAATTTTTGCTTTCTTATTTAACTGGGTTGTAAAGGACATTAAGAAAGGCATTTAACTTGTCCTTAGTGTCACTCATGCTATTACAATTTGCTCAGGAGTTGTGTAATTTATACGGTAATAAACACCGCCTATATAATTTCTCCCTTTTTGCAGAAACCTTGTTCCATTCGTGCCTGTTTTTGTCCTCAAGTAAAGTCTGTTTGCTGCTTGTGAAGACTTTTATGTTCACCTTCACTAAAACGTATGAGTTGTCATGCTACTGTCTTCTTTTTGTTTTTTTTGGATTACTGTGTGTACATAAAGTTTGCTTTGCTTTTGTATAGAAAACTGAGATGGAGAAAAACAATTCCCAGATGTTAAGATTAGATAAAAAATCTAAGCACTGTCAATTTGTATATTGGATTAGAATTATTTATTAAAAATTGATGTAATTATCCTTTACTTTGTGCATTCTGTGTTTGTTTATTGTTGATGTGGTGTTAGAGGATTACAATAAGAAAAAAAAGTGCTCCACTCAGCGATCAGATGACTCAGTTGTGTTCGGTAACTGCTGCATATAAAACATCATCAACATGCCACATATACATTCATATATATATGATTTCTTTATACTCGATCATAGAAAATTTAAGGGACCACAGCCTGACAATTTAGTCACAGCTACAAATGCCACTTATTGACAGTCTTTAATGGGCTGCACATGAGTTCAGTTATTCTTTTGAGCTTTCAGAGATACTATCTTTGTTGACTGGAAACCGAAGCCTGCATGTCTGAAACCAGCAGATGTGTGCAGTGTGAGTGGAATGTGTGTAATTGGGTGGACTTAAGATTGCATATATCCTCATTAATCGGGGACTTTCCTGAAAGATTCTCTGCGAGCCAAGTGTTCATCGAGCTCCCCTCCTCTCGATCTGCCCTCGACTCTCACACAGCGTGGACGGTAAAATACTGTCGAAATCGTTGTTTCACTTCACTACGTGTCCTGAATTTGTTTTTTAATTATTATTCACCTTATCTTGTTTATTTAGTCTCTTATACATAGATTTATTTGTTTGTTTTGGACAAGAACTTCTGCAAAATCCCAATTTTACAAAAAACAACTATAAATTCTTAAAGTACAAAAGAACATATCGAATTAAAATAAATAAAAATAAGACAAACAGAAGCAAGCAAATGTCAGAGTGTGACTCAGGAGGCAGGGGATTTTTTTTTTGTTTTGTTTTCTGTCTGTCACAAAACATCAGTTTCTACAAAATATTTTTCCCCTCTCCTGAACATGTAATCACATCTGCTAATAACATTAATGTAGATGAATTATACAAACTGGTTGCGGCTTTAGCTGTGAGGTGTGGACAACAGGTGCATCAGAGCTCCACTGAGAGACTGGCCAATTGGGCTTTAGCAGACTTAACAATGTGCTAACACTCTTACTTAATGTTATTAGGACAAAGAGAGCATTTGGAGAGGCTGTCCTCGTTTGTTTGTGGTGTTGATGCAGGCAGTGATGGGAAAGGAGGCAACATTCACTTGTATTATTATTATTATTATTATTATTATTATTATTATTATTGGCTACTAGTATCCAGATATTCTAAGTACAACCACATCGCTGCTTTGTTTGTTTAAGCTCCAATAAAAGCAGAAATATGTGTCAGACAGCAGTTTCATTTTCTCCTCTCCGCTCGGCCCCACTGTTGACAGAGACCCTCTTTCCCGCGCGGCGCTCCCTCGTTGTTTTCAACCTCTTTCTATATATAGTCTGTCTGCTTCGGGACGTCGGCGGGTGGAACCGACCCACCAGTCGGGCACACTCGGTTTGTCTTGCGCGCCCTGACGTCAGCGGCAAAGGGGGATGTGCCGCTCGGCTCTCTCCGGCCCATGAGGAGCTCAACGTGACAAGCTCGCTGGGTACAGGCAGCTTTATGCGCACACAGTATCAGCGCGGCGGCGGCGGGAATAAACAAGAAAAACACAACTGCAGCCACTGTGTCATCCCGCCGCAGGTGCACGTGCCACACAGCCGGCGGGTACAGTGTGAAATTACACGGAGTCCGCGGCGAGCGTGACACCGGGCTGGAAACGTGCCCCGCAATAATAATAATAATAATAATAATAAAAAAACGGTGCGACGGAAGCGACAGTTATTGTTTGGCTCGGTATAAATGCTTAAGTGTAAATGGTGCAAACAACGTGTTTTTAATTAAAAATAAAATACGTAATTTTTTAAAAAATAAATATGGTTAGTTCTCCTCAGAACTAGCAGAGAACATTTTCTACTCATAATTTCTACTGGTTAAAAATTTAATTTAAAAAAAACAAAAACACTTTTACATAATTCTCCTCCTGACCACAGTTTTCATTCCAGGTCTTTTCTTGGAGCCTTGCTAATCCTATAAAAGCACTCAGGAAATCAAAATAAATTGATTGCATATTGTGACAGTTCAAAATGCAGACTTTTTCCACTGTTAATATGACAATCATATGGAGGGTACTCCATTAATTTGAAGAAAGAAAGAAAAACATATACATAGCAATATGTTAAACTTTATATATATATATATATATATCATATCCCTATATAAATTATCCATCATCAAATATAACAAAATAACAGCTAACCAGCAGTTTAAACAGTACAAAATGAATCATCTGTTAAAATAGGTGAGTAGCTGGTTCCATGTTAAACTAATACCATGATGCTATATTAGTTTACTGTTAATTCTGTGCTAGTGTAGGCTAAGCATCCCTGGTGATGTCACAAATTGTTGCCTGTGTACACAATTGTTTTTGTGTGTAGGGGGAAGTTAGCAATATTAGCTTGCACCCCTCTACCTAGCTAGCTTGAAGCTACGGTTTTATATTAGCTTGCTTTAGCACTAGCTAGTTAGCTTGGATTCTTCGGTGGTGTAGGCTATGTGTACCTGGTGATGTGACAAATTATACGTGTGTTAGCAATATTAGCCTGCAACCCGTTACCTAGCTAGCTTGAAGCTAGTTCGCTTGCATAGGCACAACATCCCTAGTAAGTACTTGACATTATTTTTCTCAGCAATTTAAATAACAATGGTAACACAGTTTTAACTTGTCCATCAATTCTAAATTAACTGACAATAGTGAAATAGTTTCGAAAGCAAAATTAAGATAATTTCGTTGTGTTATGTCGCATCCATGATGCAGCCTATTCCAGTGACCTAAGCTTTAACCTAGCAGCTAATATGCGAAGAAAAAAGTAGCGTGTTTTTTTTCTGTAGGCAACAATTTATTTAAAGCATATTATTATTCTATTGAGGTATTCTCAAGTCTTTTAAAATTACATATTTATTTTTATATTATTCCTAATTGTGCTGTTTAAAACTCGCTTGCCGTGAAGCACCTTGTGTTCTGTATGAAAGAAGCTAGCTCCATTACTAAAGTTAAGTGCGTCACTCCGGACGCTAAGGTGTGCGGTATTGTTGCAACCATGTGCGGTATAAACGCTGCCATGTTTCCACTTACAGATACAACAGTTCACCTCTTCGTAACTGCCGACGGGGGAACTGTTGCTCTACTTTCTGTCTTTGTAAACACGCTCGGCTTTGCAGGCACGGCTTCAGCCCCGAGAGCCGCAGCGTGGTGGTACACGGGACTCGGCCCCGGTGGAGGAGTACTACACGAATGGGTTGTACTCTGAAGAAGCGAGCAGGGAGGGGGGGGCGGTGTGTGTGTGTGTGTGTGTGTGTGTCTCGCTCTGTGTGTGTGTGTGTGTGTGTGTGTGCAGGGGAGGGTGAGGAGTTGAAAGCGCCGTCCAACACGTGAGGCTCATGTGACGGAGTCGAGTCTGTCTCTAGCCGAGAGACGTGCCTGCAGTCACAGGGTTTATTTAACACGTAGTCACAAACCCACCCAGCTCTCACACATTGAAGCAGGCGTGGAGCCTCCCTAGGCACACTACCGAGTCCGGACCTCAGGGTGACAACACTCCAGCCGTGCTCAGCTGCAGCTCTCACACACACTGGATAACAGGAGATTACTTTTCTTTATTTTTTTTCCCTTCATTTTTGAATGATTCTTTTCTCTCTTTGACGCGCGACTGCAGAGACACATTTCGGATCGTTTTCAAGGCTTTTTTTTAAAAGTCTTTTTTTTTAAACAGTGAAGCGATATGGAGAGGATTACCAGTGCGCAACCACCTCCCTGTGTGCCAAAACACGCATCACTGGATATAGCTGACATGCAAGGGTAAAAAGGAGCTTTTTTTCTGTTTGACTTTATTCTGCTTTGTCTTGTTGTGTTTTGCCACTTTATCCAGAAGTCTAATCAAAGTCATTTTATCTTGTCTCCAAAGAATGGATTTTCCCATTTATATGTACAAACCCAGGAGGGGGATGAAGCGCGGGGATGAGAGCAAGGTAAATTCAGCTTCAAATGCTCCAATAATTCCTGCATGTGAGTCAGTTTAAACTCAATTTCACTGACAGCATTTCAACCCCCTCTCTAACCAGGAGACGTACAAGTTGCCACATCGGCTGATCGAAAAGAAAAGACGTGATAGAATCAACGAATGCATTGCCCAGCTGAAGGACTTACTGCCAGAACATCTTAAGCTTACAGTGAGTATTATCTGCTACATATGGCATGTCTGCAAACAGCCAGGGAATATGAGACACCACATGGTCGTGCTGAGCATTTTGTTTGCGTCAGACTTTGGATTCAGTTTGAAAGTCTAAAAAAAAATTATTTTGGATTTTAATAGTAAAGCTGATTTTTTTTTGTTTTTATTTATTTAAAAAAAAAAGCATTTTCTTTTCAGTTAAACTATTTATGCTGTTTAAGTTTCTTCCTTGGATTTGAATTTTGTTGTTAAGAATTGAGTGCGTCTACGTGCATTCGCATGACTTCCCGGGTGTTTGAGGCTTGTCCTCTGTTCAGCTGCAGAATGCGTTACATAAGAAAGATCAACATGCTTATCGAAGGTCTTCCTGTTTTAGACGCTGGGTCATTTGGAGAAAGCTGTGGTGCTGGAACTCACTCTCAAGCATGTGAAAGCCCTGAGTACCCTCCTGGAGCAGCAGCAGCAGAAAATCATGGCGCTGCAGAAAGACCTGCAGATCAGTAAGTTTGACGTTACGGGCCGTGTAGGCAAGAAACACCAACAGCTGCTCTTTATTAAGCATCTGTGGAATCAACCCTTTGTGATCTGTTGCATTTATCGCAGAATATGTGCGATAAAGATGAATTTATTTTTAACGTTGTGGTTCTAATCACCCAGGTGACCATGGAGGTGACAGCGCAGAGAGCAGCGAGGAGATGTTCCGCTCCGGCTTTCACTTGTGCGCAAAAGAGGTCCTGCACTATTTGGCCACCCAAGAAAGCAGCAGGGACCTGTCTCCTTCCCATGTCATCAGTCACATCCAGAAGGTAGCAGCTGAAGTCCTGCAGCATCGAAGCAGCCAACAGCCAGA